GCCATCTATTGGCCAAACTACGTGAACTACCTGTCATCTAGCACGCGGTGACATCTATCGGTAAACTACCAAACCTTAAACCGACGTCAACATAATCGCCCACCAAGGACAAATATGCAATTTGTCCTTCCTTATCTAACAAAACAAACAATGTAACTACCCGATAACTGCTAACTTAAAATTCAAACTATTCAACTACCTTAGAGTATTTATCTTATACCTATTTACACATCAGTCTATATTGGAAGCAGACACAACTTAGATATTGGGCGCTTAATTGTCCCATTTTTTGTTTTAAGCGTTATTACCCTAACTAAATTGTCCTGTCCCGGATGGACAGCATAAACTCTACCATACAGCCAACGACAGGGCGGTAATCCTCCTTCACCAACACGACATCGCCCACCTGTGGCTGAGGCTGCTGTGATGACCACCTGTACCGATTATAAAACTTTGTTAAGTACTCATGAGACCATACCTTCCAAAACTCTTGCAGCATTTTCTGAATATACTGCGACCGCCTTAAAGAACTAACATTATTAGACTCATAATTTTTATCAGGAGCCGTTACAATAGGCTCTCCCACAAGGAAATGACCAGGAGTCAAAACAGAAACACCTTCAGCATCGCTTAAAACAACTGACAGCGGTCTTGAATAAAGACAGGCTTCTACTTGACCGTTGAACCATTTGCTATTTCCTACTTCTCTTTTCATCTCTTCTATTAATTCGTCGCAGTTACTCGTTCATTTCATTAACTCGAATCCTCCTTTTTCTAGCAATTCATTCATTTCTTTAAATATCTGGAATCCTTCTTCTTTAGTTTGACATCCCGTCAATAGGTCATCCATGTAAAAATCTCTAAATACTCTCTCCGCTGCCATAGGATAACTCCCACCCTCATCAATAGCCACTTGTTGCAATGTCTTGACAGCCAAGTATGGCGCAGATGCAGTTCCAAACGTCACTCTTAACATTCTATAGTGCTTTATCTTAGTTTCAGGGTTATCTCTCCAGAGAATCCTTTGAAAATCCACATCTGATTCCGAGATCTTCATTTGCCGATACATTTTGGCTATGTCAGACGTGAGACAAACGGGGTACGTACGCCATCGCCTCACCAAGTGCCGTAGCTCTGACTGTAAGGTAGGTCCCACTAGAAGGTTATCATTTAGAGACATATTATTCTTACCCTTACAGGAGGCATCGTACACTACCCGTACCTTCGTCGTTTCCCTGTCTTCTCGTATGACTGCGTGATGGGGTAAGTATATCGCCAATGGATTGTCAACTTGATCATCAGGTACAAGTTCCATGTGATTCAGATCTATGTATTCTTGCATCACTTCAGAGTACTTCTCTCTCAAGGCTTCATTCTTCATGAATTTCCGTTCCAACGAAAGAAATCTCCTTTCAGATATCTCCCTGGAGTTGTCTACACAAGGAGGATCATTCTTCAAGGGAAGTCGAACTACATATCTCCCTTCCTCGTCTCTTGAAGTTGTCTTTGTGAATATCTCCTCACATCTTTTTTCTTCCTCTGTAAACATTTTCTCTCTTTTTATTTCAGGTTCCGCTTCCAGTTCCCAGAACTTCTTAAGGAGATCATTTTCATCGATCAGTGAATGCATTACTACTATACTCTTTGGCTTCTGCTGTGAATCCATAACCGTGCCCGAAATGATCCAGCCTAAAGCTGTAGATTGTGCAATCACTCCACCCTGGATACTCTTCCTTAATCCTTCTTGCAGAATCTGCCCGTACACATCTGCACCTAACAAAAGATCCACTTTGTTGGGCGTGTGGTACTCAGGATCAGCCAAGGTAATTCCCGTTAAATCCAAACCTTCCAGGTCACTAACCTTTTTCGCTGGAAGACAAGCTGTGATCTTTCTTAACACGTACGCCTTGACCTTGAACTTGATTTTAGGATTGACCCGAGACTGCAAGTTGATGTTAACCGTCGAGTTGATGATGACCTTCTTATCTCCTCCCAGACCCGATACAACGTTTTTCGTCTTTGTCTTCTTTAAACCCAAACCTTGTATCGTCGCTTCGGTCACAAATGACGCCTGCGATCCTTGATCGAGCAAAGCGCGTACCGTTCTCCGTGTTCCGTTATTAGCTTCAATATTTACCACAGCTGTAGCTAATAGTACCTGTTTTCCCGTTTTATCCGCCGAAAAACACGAAGTAATATTTCCTTCTGCACCTCCTGCTTCTTCAGTAAGCGTACAACTGACAACTGCTGAAGACCCTTGCTCCTTATCCTCACTAGCCTCTGAAATAAATTTCCCATTAGAATGAAGCAGTGAGTGGTGCTTCCTTTTGCAGATCTGACATCTTGTTTTGATACGACAATACTTAGCTGGGTGACTTCTACCTAAGCAATTGAAACAAATATTATTGTCCTGCACGAAATCTCTACGTCTGTCAACTGTTTCTTTCGCAAAACCCGGGCAAAATGCAAGTGTGTGTGCTTCCTTACATAAAACACAACTATGGTTATTTACATGGAGGGCTTTCAACTTATTTGAATTTTGAGTCACGTTTTTCCTAGGTGTGTTGGATCCAGAAACCAAAAATTCGATTGCGCGGTATCTATTTGTCAAAAACTCCTGAAACATTGAATATGTTGGTAGCTGATCCGCCGAGCTATGACTATTCACGTAAAACTCCCAACTACGTTTGGTTTCTGTGTCCAATTTCTGACTCAAAATATGTACAACAATCACGTCCCAGCTCCCCACGTTGACACCAATGTTCAGTAAAGTGGACATACAATCATTCGTGGTGTCAATCAGTTCTTTCAGTATGGGTGCGGACTCATTAACCATGGTTTTCTGATTGAAAAATCTAATCAACGTTTGTTGGCATATGTACTTCTTATTATTGTATCGCTCCTCCAGTAATTCCCAACATCTGTCATAGTTACATTCTGCGATCGAAATGTGCTTCACAAGCTGTTCCGCTTCGCCTTTGAGATAACTTTTTAAATAATGGAACTTTTGAACCTTTGTTAAGTCATCATTATGATGCACCAATGAAGTAAACAAATCAAAAAATGTTGGCCATTCCGAATATTTGCCTGTAAATACTGGTATTACAATTTTGGGCAAATTAAGATGACTCGGTTTCGAAACAACTTGAGAAGCACCATCTTGGGAACAGCAGGGATTCAAGTGCGAAGTAAATTTCAGTAAACTGGTTTTTAACTTGTTAGGTATGGACATCACTAGGCACCTAGGACAACACTAGATGTCATGGCGGGTTTGGCGCCATTGTGTAAGCGTCCATCTTAGTGAGTCAACTGGAAGGTTATAAGAAATTGTAAATGATCAAATAAACGTTGTGTAACAAGCTGAAGTGTATATTATTCAAGAACATAACATTGGCGACGACGAGAACATCGAGTCCACGACAGAAAAAGCAACATCAAACATGATTGGATCTATTGAGCCCTATAAAACGGACACAGATTTTGTAACTTATATAGACAGAATGGAACAGTATTTCATCGTGAATGAGGTAAAGCCTGAGAAGAAGGTAGCATTGTTCCTGACGTTGATTGGGGCGGAAGGTTATGAAACCCTGAAAAACTTAATTGCACCGAAAAAACCGTGTGATTCAGATTACTCGGCACTTGTCCATATCTTGCAAAGTCATTATGTGACAAAAAAATCAGTGATAGCTGAACGATTTACATTTCATAAATGTACCCAGAAAGACACACAATCTATCAACGAGTTCATATTGGAATTAAAAGTGAAGGCAAGCAACTGTCAATTTGGAGAGTTTTTGAACCAAGCTTTGAGAGATAAGTTCGTTTGTGGTATTAAGAATGAAAATATTACTAAACAACTTTTGATTGAAAATGAATCTTTAACCTTCGAAAAAGCTATTCAAATAGCTACCAATTATGAGAATGCGGAACAAGGAGTGAGCAATATGCAGCCAAACTCCTCCACCATGCTAGGCAGAGTGAGCAGCAGATTGGAATGCACACGTTGTGGGGGTTCTCATAAAGCAGACGCATGTTTCAGAAAATCATTAACCTGCTATATTTGTAAGAAAATTGGGCATATTGCTATCAAATGCCGGTTCAACAAGGGAATGACAATGAAGCCTAAGTACTTCAGAAACAAGGTAAACAATATGGAGCAGAACGATGAGAAGTCACCTACCAGTGAAGATGAAAAGGACGCAATACTGGGGAGCATCATGTACGTGGAGGAGGATCCAGCTTATGTAGAATTGTGACTAGGCTCGGAGGTCATGAAAATGCAGATTGACACAGGAGCATGCAAAACAGTGATTCATCAAAGTGATTTCAAAAAGTATTTTAAGTCATATAAATTAAGTGATTGCATGTCTAAGTTAAGAAATGTATCTGGAGATTATTTGCCGGTAAGTGGGAAGGTACTGATCCAAATGTCTGTTGGAAATGAACAAAAGTGCTTAGAGTTAATTGTAATAAAAAGTGATCAGTATTTTGCACCACTGCTAGGCAGGGATTGGTTGGCTGTAATATATCCAAATTGGAAAAAAAGTTTCGTGAAAAATTGTGACTTAAAAAACATTACAGGGATGGTGCAAAAAGTAGAGGGTGATATATTGACGTTGATAACTAAATACAAGGATATTTTTAGCAAGGATAGGTCTTCTCATATTAATCACATGAAAGCTAAATTGAAGTTAAAAGATGGGGCAGTTCCAATTTTTCACAAAGCTTACTCAATACCCTATGCTTAGATGATCAAACGAACTTACCAAGTGAAGTTCGATCTGAATTATCCTGTTTTCGCCGAAGAGATTTATTTTACCGTGTAGTACCCCTGTACGACAAGCCAATCCGCACACAATATTCAGCGTAGTAGTAGTAAAAAACAAAAGAGCTGGCAACCCCACCCCCACCACGCTGTGGGCTCGGTGTCCGAGCGGTCTCATTATATTTAGAGAAGAGATGACATTGACGTTTACCTCCAGGGAAGAAGTCACTGTCATCACATCGTCGTCATGGCTACACTATCTGACGTGCAACAGCTCCAATCTTCTCTCGAGGCATCGCTACATCAGCGCATGAGCCAGTTCGAGTCGCAGCTCAAGACTTCAGCGGAGCCATCATCGCTTGTTCAGCTGCACGAGGAATTCAAGGCCTTCAAAGAAGTCGTCCACGGTATCTTATTGCTACTACGCAAGCAAATAAGTGAGCTTTCCGGAGTCACAGACACTCTTGAGATGAGGCACCGAAGGAAATGCCTGCTGTTTGGAGGCATACCGGAAGACCCCAAGGAGCAGACCTCTGNGGATGGTGCAAAAAGTAGAGGGTGATATATTGACGTTGATAACTAAATACAAGGATATTTTTAGCAAGGATAGGTCTTCTCATATTAATCACATGAAAGCTAAATTGAAGTTAAAAGATGGGGCAGTTCCAATTTTTCACAAAGCTTACTCAATACCCTATGCTATGAAGGAAGAAGTGGAAAAAGAATTGTTGAATTTAGAAAAGGCTGGTATAATCAGTAGAGTACAACATAGTGAGTGGGCAAGCCCAATTGTTTTAGCTAAAAGAAATGATAATAAAATTAGGATCTGTGTGGATTACAAAGTGACAGTTAATAAAATGTTGGATGTTGAACACTATCCTTTGCCCTTGCCAGAGGATATCTTTAATGAGCTCAGTGGTGCTAGTTGTTTTTGTGTGTTAGATCTTTCTGGAGCGTACCAACAACTTTTACTTGATGAAAAGTCACGGGAGTATTTAACTATAAATACACATTTGGGGCTATTCCAGCCAAAAAGATTACAATTTGGTATCTCTAGTGGGCCATCTGTTTTTCAATATGTCATGGATCAAATTTTAAAAGAGCTTAAAAATGTTAAATGTTTTATTGACGATTTGGTGATTACAGGAAAAAGTAGGACTGAATGTAATCAAAATGTGATAAAAGTTCTAGACAGACTTAGAGAATACAACGTTAAAGTCAACTTTGAGAAATGTCAATTCTTTTGTGAAGAAATTAAATTTCTGGGGCATGTAGTAGGAAAACAAGGAATTAGACCATTGCCTGACAAAATAAAGGCAATTATGAATGCTCCAACTCCAAAGTCTTTGTCTCAGTTACAGTCTTACTTAGGATTAATAAATTACTATGGGAAGTTCATACCATGTTTGTCAGAAAAGTTAGCTCCACTATATAGTTTGTTAAAAAATGATAAAAGTCAAAGTTTTCAATGGTCAGAACAATGTGATAATGCTTTCAAGACTAGTAAACAATTAATTACAAGTGATAACTTATTAGTTCATTTTGATAGCAGTAAAGATATTTATGTTACAACTGATGCAAGTAGTTATGGAGTTGGGGCAGTTCTAAGCCATAAGATTGATGGTGACCCTATTTATTTTGCATCTAGCACCTTAAATGACGCTCAAAAAAATTATTCACAGATTGAAAAAGAGGCCTTAGCTATAATATTTGCAGTACAAAGATTTCATAAATTCTTGTATGGTAGGAAATTCATTTTAGTAACAGATCATCAACCACTTAAATTTATATTTGACCCATTAAAAAAAATACCAATAACAGCAAATGCCAGATTACAGCGATGGGCACTTATATTGTCTGGGTATCAATATGAAATCTCATATAGAAAAGGCAAACTTCTGAGCAATGCTGATGCATTATCTAGGTTGCCATTGCCAGAATTAGCTGAAGTAACCGACTGTGTCAATTATTTTAATTTTGGTCAGGATGATGGCCATTTGTGTTTTAAAGAAATTTCTGTTAGTACTCAGGAAGATTCTTTGTTAAATCAGGTCTTTAAATATATTCAGCAAGGATGGCCTAACTTTGTAAAAGATCAAAACTTAAAACAATATTTTTCAAAAAGGGCAGAATTAACTGTAGAACAGGGATGTATTTTATGGGGAAGTAGAGTGATTGTACCACCCAAATTAAGAAAAAAATATCTGAATCGTTTTCATGAATCTCACAATGGGATTGTTCAAACTAAGATGTTAATTAGAAACTATTGTTGGTGGCCAGGGATAAACGAGGACATTGAAAAATTAATAGCTGAATGTGATATTTGTCAAGCTTCCAGAAATTATACGAATAGTTGTCCTACCTTTTCATGGGCGAAAACAAATTATAACTTTGAAAGAATTCATATAGACTTTTTCATGAAAAATAACATTACATATTTGTTAATAGTAGATTCTCACTCAAAATGGATAGATATACATATTATGAATAGTACTACCGCTTCACAGGTGATAGAGAAGTTATGTAAAACTTTTGCGATTATTGGATTGCCCACTGAATTGGTCAGTGATAATGGTCCGCCTTTTACGTCTCAAGAGTTCGTACGATTTCTGGAAAGTAATAGCATTGTAGTTTCTAAAAGTCCACCTTACCACCCTCAATCTAATGGATTGGCTGAGAGGGTAGTACAAACTGTAAAAAATGGCCTGTCTAGATTGGAACAAACTAAGTCGGGACTAACTAGGGAGTTACAATTACAAAGATTTTTGTTCATGTATAGAAACACCCCAAATTATACTGGAAAATCACCCAATGATAGTATTTTTCAACATAAACCAATGATACCTCTGGATTTAATGAAACCGCAAAGTCATGTCAAAGATTATCAGAAATCCTGTGAATTTAATGATCTTTATCAAGTGGGAGAAACGGTCTGGTGTAAGAGTTATGATAAAAAGAGGTGGGTAAAAGGGGTTGTCTCAAAATGTTTGTCCCCTATTAGATTTTTAGTTGTGGTAAACGGTGTTGAAAAATATTATCATGGTAGTGCTTTAAGAAAGTGTAGAAGTGGAAACATGCTTGAGAAACGGGAACCTGTACAATTTAATGAAACTAATGACTGGTATTACAGGAACCCTATTTTGGTTAATGGAAATGAGAGTAGTTCGGTACCGGAAAGGGAAGTAGTATCGGATCAGAATGATAGTGAGAATGTACCGGGAAATAATGAGATAAGAAGTCGATCAGGTAGACTTATAAAGGTACCTGAGAGGTACAGGAAATTGTAATGTATTGAGATGATCAGATGATAAAGGGGGAGGAAATGTTAGGTATGGACATCACTAGGCACCTAGGACAACACTAGATGTCATGGCGGGTTTGGCGCCATTGTGTAAGCGTCCATCTTAGTGAGTCAACTGGAAGGTTATAAGAAATTGTAAATGATTAAATAAACGTTGTGTAACAAGCTGAAGAGTATATTATTCAAGAACATAACAAGTACAAGTCAAATACAACAATAGCGTATTGTTGTCTTTGTTATAACCGATTCAGAAATTGATTTAAAAAGATACCTAGCTAGACGATACTGACGATTATGTCCACTGTTTAGTACGTAACTTCACACAAACACATAGCAAAATAGTCAAGACCTGGAGTCCAAATCAACTGGCTTCTCTACTTAATTAGTAAATCGGTTCTTCCAGTAAGTAAACTAAATATATACTTATGTAATTAAGAACCTCATATTCTGTATTATCTTAAAGGGTAGTGCTTCACTGCCTAATAGTGCACAATCTTCAGGGTTTTCATATGCCGAGAACGATTGCAAGTTTGGCCTTTAGGAGAAGTAGCGGAAGTGAAATAACTATCAAACTATTTGCTTTACAATATCGGTGTAAATAGCGTTACATCACATTTTCACATTTGCACTTTGCGTGTTACATTGGTAGCCTCGGATTTTATAATGTGAACTTTGTCGAGGAGGAAGTTTGTCTTGTCATCTTGCACCAGACCTACAATGTAAGATTCGTTATTGATTTGATTTCTTGATCACTTCACTAATAGGTATACTAAAAACAGTCTATGTGGGTATGTATTAAAGAATGGATGGCATATTTCCCACAAACGAGTGTCTGAACAGTGTTATTAACATAATGTCACCACTGTATCATTGTCTACAGGCACTGATCGTGGACAGGAGATAGCTGTGTCCAAATAAAGCAACGATCGTCGTAGATTTGAAGGTACATGATTCCTCTTTTCGGATACCTCACTGATCAAGGAGCTTAAGCTACTTTGATGAACTCTCAGTTTTTATCCTTGCGGTTCCAGTACAGTTTTGACAGTGGGTATAATATGGCGTAACAGAAGCCGTTTAAACTTTCTGAAGTCAGCGCTGAATACATTCTAAAGTGCATGCACATTTCAACGCAGCACGAGTCTCAGAACCGCCTAGCTACATCATCAAACTTGTTCTCTTGACGATCGATTGATTGACTCGCAGCTCACATACACATAAATTACCTACTTTAGAGATTCAAGAATAAATTTTATTTGTATTCGAAACTTTTTATAAATGGCAGCGTTTACATAATCTTTTAAGTGAAATTAGGTTCACAATAACTCTTTCTGATTAGTATTTCAGAATAGTAGTTAGGTACTTTTGGCAGTATTTGTTATGTAGGTGGTAAGAGCTACCTACTTCAGATAAGTACTATGATGGGATATAATAGTAAATCATAAATTGCAGTGAAACTGTAAAAATTTAAGTAAGTAAGTAAGTGGGTAATATCATGATTCATGAATATTCGTAGTTCGTAAGCTACAAAATAAATATATTATAGACTAATTACATAAAAACACTTTTGACTTCACTATTATGTTGAGTTATCATCACGTTCGTCGCCTAATTATAATCTAACATTCATTATTTGTCAATTAAAATACTTATCCTATTGTCTAAAAATAAAAGCCATGTCATTAAAACCCTCATGCCTGGCCTGGGGCGAGGTGAAAGTGGCTTTGTCTGACAGTCATTGTCTGTGATCTATCCAGCGATCCGTGCAACCGGTTTCGTTCGTGCAAATTATGGCGGTGATGAAATTTACGTATCTGTCTTGCAGATTAATACACAGCAACCTCATCCAGACACCACTGCCTACTTGATAAGACAAAATCTTAAGGCCATAATCATGAAAACTTTTGTCTCTATAACCAAAGCCTTCAAGTTCAAGGTACGATAAGGCATTTTCTAGACAAAGTCACTATAGCAATACTCATTCTTAATATGCTTTGGGCGAGATGGTGTGTTAAGACTCAACTTTTTCTCTTTTCGTTCGTTCCATTTTAAAAAAGTTGAGCAAATTAAATAAACAATTAAATATTGTATGGAAATATTGTACTTAAAATATCAATACCTTAAATTAAAACCTATTCGCGACATGTTTGTATTTTATGGTGCTATGATAGATCAGTGGGCTGAGACATCAAACGTATGAAAATTTAGTTTTTGAATGTTTATAGCTAGAGAAGTGAAGTGATCGCCTTTGATGTAAACTCACATTAGGCCCTAAGGTCTCTAATATGCCTACCTATTTTAACTTATAAGGATATTATTTACGAAGAAAACAAAAGTTATATTAAATTAACTTATTTATTGCTGTAATAAATATAACATAAGGCCATAAAGGCACCATCTGTTATCATAAATTATAAATACAATATTTTTTACAATGTGTAATATACGGTCGGTATGCTGTTAAAATCGTCTACATCTTTTGGCTCTTATAATATCTCTTACCAACATATCTTTTCTAACTACTAATTTCTTAACATCTTGCTCTAAAATTTTCCTCATTTTTTTTAATCGATCAATAATTTCGATTTCTTTTTCAATTTTATTAGAACGCAAACTGTCTTTTCCTTTTGAACTTAATGCATTACGCTGAATCTTTTCATTGCGACTGAAAACAGCACTATTTTCCACAGAGTAATCACAGGACATGTCATCCTCAGATGATAATGATTGTACTTCATCAACATCGATATCATCCACCACAACCATATAACATTCATCATCAGCTAGTTCGTCAAGTTCCATTTGTTTGATGACGCGTTTTAAATCGGATCTGAAAATGTAAGTTGTTTAAAAAAGGTTAATAGTTACAGAAAGGCTACAATTACATTTAGTATTCATATTCATTTATTGCATCCTGTTGTTGAATTAGGTGTTTACAAATAAATATGTCTAGACACAAACAAAAGCCCTGTAAGTGCATTGCAAGTTATTGGAAAATAACAATAATTGAATTATAAACAACAGAAATAAAATAATTCCTCATAGAAATTATTAGTTTTGCCTCTTTTGATACAAAATAACATAATGCTGAATTAATATTTAAGAATAAAAAGGTTTGTTGTTTTATTAAATTAAAGGCGTGTTTGTGAATGTTCTGTCGAGTAATTGTTTATGTATTTTATTAGGTTTCTCAACATGGTGAACCAAACATACTTTTCTGATGCAACGTATTTTAAGTACTAACCTTTCCTCCTGAATAGGTACAGCTTTATAACTAGGTTCACCTTTATTACTAGGTTTCGCTTTATTCCTAGGTTGACCTTTAGAAATAGCTTTTTGGGGCATTGCTAAACGACGTTTACTTTTAGGTTTGATGGGCTTATTAAATATCACACTTCTTACAAATTCTCTACTCGGTATTAACTTTTTGTCATCCGTTACTACCACTTCGTAGAGCGCATCTGTCCCAAGATCAATGTTTTTGTCTGCATCGCCTAAAATTGTTATATTTGCTTCCTTTACTTCGTCTATTTTTTCATCATCATTACCAGCCGGGTCGTGTACTTCAGTCACAGTTGGGATTTCTTGATCATTGTTTGTAATCTCATCATTATTATTCCTTTGATCATCAGTCTTCGAAGCTTCGTCATTCGACACAATACTAACTGTAGCCAAGTCTGTAACCTGAATATGTACTTCTGGCACGTTTTCTAAATTTTCCATCATTATAAACTGTTCAATCGTTTGTTCCTTCGGTTCAGTGTTTTCTTCGAATTGCAAGCAATAATCTTCAGGTTGCGCTATAACTTCCGTGTTATTATTTTCTTGACTTTCGTATACTATTATTTCATTGCAATTTTCCACCGGTTCCACAACAGTCATTACGTTTTCATAGACGATGTCTTGGTTTTCTTCATAGGGATCGACGTTTTGAGTATTTTCTATTACTACTGCTTGGGGTTCTAATTTTGGTATTACAGTTGGAACAGGCTCAGGAACTCTTTGGGAGTTTTTGGCGTATTTTTTAAATTTATTTCTCTGAATCCTGAAAAAGCAAGGATAAAAAATCTAATCAATCAATCATATTCTACATAATAAATTTGCGTTTGAGCTGATGTTCTCACTCTCAGTTTCAAATGTAAATATCAAACTGAGATCAATCCACAACAGAAATATTTTATACTAGCTGCCCCGGCGAACTTCGTACAGCGTATTCATCAGAAATAATTTAGGATTCTAAAATTGTGAAAGACAAACAATCAAATCTTTCTTCTTTATAATAATAGTGTAGAATTGCTACATCAACTTATAAAATCACACACAGAAGAAAATTTACCTATTAGAAGGTTCAAATTCCAGCTGAAATGAGCTAGAAGAATTTTCTGTCTCACCCCTCACCGAGTCTTGCAAGTGTTTTATGCTCTGTAGGGTCTCTTGATCGAACGACAACTCTTGGAGACGCGCTTCTAAACGACTCTTACTCGTCACTGGAGTTTCCATGTCGAAATCTAGAATAGTAAGTTCAATCAATGACATTACAATCAATGATAGGTAATAGGTTCAATACACGAATACACGAAAGTGAAAATACGTAAAAAGTGGGTATAGGAAACATATATCATAATCATATATCAAATTATAGAAAATTCAGCAAATAAGGTGCTCCTTTGACTGAATAATGTAATAGATATTCAAGTAAAATAATGTCAATCGAAAAACATAGAGGCTTGTCAAATAGTAAGTACCCACCTTCGTAATTTTGTTTGCTGATTACTTTGGGTCGTCTTCTACCTATATTGGGATTACCTGAAACACAATGTAATCTGTAAATCTATGAATTATAACTGTTACATTATTATTCAATGAATTCTATTCATTACGAGCGTGTCTGCAATAGTTTTGGTGTCCTATCTATGGCTATGGAACGATAATTATACTTCGTCACAAACTACGGGCTTACAAAAATAATTACGTAAAAACGCTTCTCTAAATGAGTATTTCTAAGTTAATACTCACGAGGTGTTTTCGGTTTTGGTGGAACTTTCTTGGGCGCCGACACTGTTCTCAATACATTTATCGCCTCCTTAATCTGTGACGCTTTATCTGAAAATAATTAAAGAATTTAAAAGATCTGTCTATTACTACAAATCAATTCAAAAATATTTGTTCATATTTAACCAGTATTTTGGCACTTATGACTTTCGATATCGCTCTTTGGAATAGATAATTTACCTTTAGTTTTGTCTTCATCATCAGCCGACATAAATTCGTTATTAATAGTATCCTCTTCATCATTTTTATCTATTATACCCAATTCTTCTTTTATTTCTGCAAAAACAAACTTTGATACAGCTAAGAGGATTGGGAATAAGTGAATGTATAGTTTGGTTACCATAACTATGGGACAAATATTTGAACATCAGCCTACCCAACCCAATGCTTCAAGCATGAGGAATCAGTGGCGGGGCAAGACGGGGGAATATGGCGCCAAAGAATACCTAATGTTCGTCACTTAAAACCGTGTTGTTGCTTAATTTTGTGTCTGATTATGGCTGAATTTGTTTGGAAAAAAATATATTTTTTTAACTACATTGTTTAGCTATCAAGAATTTATATTTAATAGTCAATGTTTGCATTTATGGTCGTATTGTGATATTGTCATCTCCACCTTGTATACATTTTTTCAAAATTTTTGATGTGCGAGGCCCCTTGTTCCGCGAGGCCGTAGGCGGTGGCCCACGTCGCCTACGCCTTACGCCGCCACTGTGAGGAATATATGCCAAATTGTCCATTTACCACTAGTAAATTAAAGGGGTGTGCTCTTGCTATGGAGACTAAATTTGTTTCCTAATGTTGATATACATTTTATACTTACTTTCAATCTTCCTCGACATTTCTCTGAGTTGATCTAATGTAAATTGCCTTTCAATTTTATTTCTCTTCATCCTCATTATTAAATTGTTAAAATATATTCCATCCATTTTATAACCTGTCAATGATTCGCAATATTTTTTCACTACTTCACGGTCTACATCCAAAGATAAGAGGTCCATTATCTAAAAAAAACTGAAAGTTAGATTTTTATGTAATTTTTGAAATAAAAATAAATGCCTCAGGTGCAATGAGGGCTACCGTTTTTATACATCACAGTTGGCACCACTGGCGATTGACATGACCCTACTCTACAGTGGTGCCATCCTGGCGAGTGTAAGATGCAAATGCAATAGTCCATTTGGCGCCACTGTCTTCGCCACTAGCAAGTGTCAGTGATTTTACACTACATTTGTGACATTGGCGCCAATTGGTGAGCGCTAAAACGATATGCTGCCTTTACACTGCGCGGAAATTAGCCAAGTCAAAAAACAGTGGGGTGGGGATGAAAAATGAATTAATTTCATCCCCACTCCACTGTTTTTTTGACTTAATTCGGCAAATTTCCGCGTAGTGTAAAAGCAGCAATAGCCCTCATTGATTAGTGTTATAGTGTGCCAATCCAAACCTATTTTATAAATTATCTATCAGCATAAACCCCACATATTAAACGCACGATTTCTTGCAGCCTATTCCAGAAGCAGTTCAAAATTGAACACAACTTTACCTCTTCTTTGACACTGGGGTGTATCCGTCTTCCGTGCTGCAACTTGTCGAAGTAATCGTCAGTCAAAGGGTGGTCATGATGATTGCACACATACACCACTGTCAAGGTGTCAGCGGTTACTGGTACTGGTTTTAACACTACTCTGCAGGGGCACTCATTTTTTGGCACTTTGGAAGTTCTAAAAACAGCACAATAATTATAAATAATTTTCAAGGCGAGAATAAATAGGCACAGGGCAGATTTGTACCATCCTAGACTGCATCCCGACTGACTCAACACCAGGTGCGATTGTGGTCAAATACCTAGTTATGCATAAAAAAATGTAGGTACTAATGGTTGTGTTACCAACAACTATCATGATTCAACAATTAAAAAAAATAATATTGATTAATTATTAAAGCATTTATTTCCATTAAAGCATAGAGTACATACATAATTTTATATAAGGATAGGCTTGTGCTTACATTGTATGAGTGATTTGAAATTAGTAATTACTACTATTACCAAGTCTACCTTGAATTAAATAAAAGGCATTGAGATCCGAAACTTGAAAAATGTGTCCAAGATTAAAGTTACTTTTAAAAATATACCTTTCCTTACCTTTTTCTTAGTCCCTTAGCATTAAAATAATTATAATTTGATGACTTTGCAAACACACATCTATAGACGAATATTGATTTGCCATCTTTTATATGTGAATCAGCACATTTTAGGTAATATTTCCACTTTTTCGCGTTACTATCAACATATAAACGAAATGTTTCTAAGGAATCAAACTTGTCCCCCACTTTGAGTAGTCCATCATCTATATGTTCAGGCAAATTTGGATCATGTTTCTTGCAGTAATTTTCAGGTTTATAAGCTGAAAGTATAAAAAAGTGAAACTTTTTATTATACTATATTATAGTTTTTATTCAGGGTTTTCATTACACTTTAACCTCAACTTTGAAACATGTTTTTTTTACATTTAAATGAAGTTTTAAATACATGTTCTCATTTCCCTAAAGTAGGTATATGTATTCAGTTATGTAGCCTGAAGATTCTTTTATTAATATGTATTATAAAACCACTCTGAATGTGAAAAGTTGGATGTTAATAAAGCTTTTATCTTTTATTATTATAATAAACAAAGATAATGATAATTATTTTGATAACTCACCATAGTACTTGCTCTTAAATAACCCACCAAAGACATGTTTGGTAATCTCTTCATCTGACTTGGCAAGGATGTAATCTAACTTCTGAACCACATTACCTTTTTGGGGCTGGTGAAAAACCCTGCAATCATTGTAAATGAGATATAAGTAGCCAGCAATAAAAACCATACCTATTATTAACTAAAGCCTGGTCCGTGAGCACATAGAATTTTGTCCAATGACCCCAAGCTACCCATTCTTATCGCTTGCATGTAATTATATTGCTGTCGCGACTGTGCGACGGGCGCCCGCAGTGAGTGTGCGAGCGCAACAGCAATATAATTACGCGCGAGCGATAAGGATGGGTAGCTTGGGGTCGTTGGACAAAATTCTATGTGCTCACGGACCAGGCTTTATCTAAGATGACAGTGATGTACGGCTATTAAGCCATCAAACCCCAAGAATCCCAAGCGGTCGTACAAGACCACGTAACAAATTGATCTCTATTGTGTCTCAATTCGCAGATCTTGAATGAAGGGTTAAGGTAAGTACAAATACAAATAACCTTTGATATGCCTAAGCACTAACCAGAATGAGATACAATGAAACAAGTTTCTCTATAAACATACCGTTGAATCAAAATTTTTGGTCTCTTTTCAACAGACTCCTCAGGTTCAACAGCATGAGAATTGTTGAGATCGAAGTTTTCAACCTCCTGTTCATGATAATCAATTTCTTCTTCGTGCTGATTTACCATCCAATCGTCACTTTGAGCTGTAACGATGCCTTCACTTGTTACTCTACATTCAACGGTTTGCCTTTGACCATGCTCATGTGGTGTAGTCATTTTAGTAATGCTCCCAATTGACTAACGATGAGGCTCCGGTAATCATTTGCTTCAAACGCTTTGGTTATATTTTTTCCAGAGATCTGAAAATGGTACAATTATTCATTCAACATTTTTATCTCGCACGGGCATTAGATAGATAGATAGAACACACTTAATTGTACACCATACAAGACAAGAAAAGAAAGAGAAAGAAATAAAAGATATGGCACAATTTAGTAATTATTTTGTTTTTGTTTCATTCCTTTTTTAATAACCTTTACCCAGATAGTAACAGGTCTCTTAAATTATTAGTGACTACAGTGAGAAATAAACAAGGTGAGAAAATTAGTTACAAGTTAGTCTGGAACTATTAGTAACTTCTGACAAAAATAAACACACTAAAATTATTGCAGCACTGTGCTCATTTTCTAATGTAAGCTGTAGCAACATACAGCTAGCAGGTATTAGATATATGTAAGTATTTTATGTAGAAATTGGTAGAAATCCAGACTAACCTATTCTAATATTTTCTGATGTTTGTTTTGGTTTGAAACTTTTCCCAATCTTCAATCAAATGGGTTTCTTTCACTGACACGCAAATTATTTTAACGCTACAATGGTTGACAGATAGGTTTTTGTCAAAAAACAAATGGCCGACGGAAATAGGATGTGACCGAATGAACGACAAAATGTCAACCACAGAGAAGAAAAGTAATATTTAAACACAGAGCCCTCTCCACAGATATGGATTAGATAGAGGCCCTCTCTCTCAGTCAACTTTTTGACACCATTGATTGAATAGTGCTGCCACCTAGATTATGAATCCTGTACTAAGCTTATTTGTAATATCAGCAGTCTAGCGCATGCACACATTCTCATAAAATTCAAAGTTTACAATACAATAGATTTTTTAAAAAAATTTTTCAATCCTCGCCATATTAATATAGGTGATCTATTACACTGCACAACAGCATTTCTGATGATTGGGTTATGTTACATGATATTAGTCCAATTTTTAATGGCGATTTCAAATCTGTGATTGAAATATCTGTATCAGCTCTGGTTAAAAAAAGATGACACTTGGGTCTTTTTGTAAAAAAACACTCTTTTTTTAGAGATGATCCTATTTTATGAAGTTGTTAAGTTGAAAAAACTTTCTTTTATTTGACTTCCTTGCTGATGCTGAAGGCAGACAGCTCTTCTGAATGATTCAACAGCAGTCAGCCATCATGTGTGCATTCCAGTGGCCCTGATAGCGGCCCTCTATCGTACGAAGGCCCTGGTGGATTTGCTCGCCATGTTCTTCACTTAGATCCTTAAGAGTTGTGATAAAATTGTTCAGGTGATTGCGAAGAGAGTGTAATTCGATGTTTATATTACATCCAACCAAAAAAACATGTTTGTAAGTGACTCATACGTTGTTCGATGTGTAAGAATAGTAAGATTTTTTCGGATTTTCCAAAAAAAAAATTAAAATGCCAAAATAACTCATTCCATGTCTTTTCGGAAGACTTGAAGATCCTAAATCTCTAAAACGATCGTTTAAACCATCTTGGCTACATGGTTTTGAAAATTTCGGGTCACATTCAAAGTCTCTACCACACTGACAGTTTTCGCCTCAAAATCCTCATGTGAAGTATCAACATGAGGTTCAGGTGACTTCTTAGGGTTGAAAAGACGTCTACATGCCAAACGTATGCAAGGAATTACTATTTAGTTCAATATTTTTTGGTTAATACCATTTTTGTTCAAAAATAAAAATAACAGTCGTCGCGATGGTTCAAGGGTTCCTTTCAGATCATAGCGGTTTCGTACCTAAATCTACACATATTCTTATTTGTTTATAAACGTAAAAACTCAACGCATCTTTTCCACGCCTTTTGCGGAATTCAAGGCTTATCTTTCATTTCCACTGGGTCCCCAAACTAATTTTTTTAAGCCAATTTTACGAACTTTGTCACATTTAAACGGATTATTTAAACATATCCTCTCCGCAAATGAAACAAAATTGATTTAGATAATTCACACAAACACTTCTTAATGCTACCATATTAAATTATACAAAGAAAACATAGTATTTTTTGAACTGTCGGCGAATTAAGACTGAAATTTAGCAATTTTTGAGTGAAAGCTATAACACGTAAACAAGAGCTGCTACGAAAAAATGGACGGCAGATTCAGAATCAGCGACGTCAAATTAGTAAACATCATGTAATGAAAGTCAATCATCAGCCAAAAGTTGCAATTTTGTTGTGCAGTGTTATGACTTTATATAAACGAAAAAAAAAAAAAAAATTTACCAAAAAAAATACAATTGAAAGTAGAATTTTTAGTGAATATTTTCCGTACGAAATCAACTGTACTGTGGCTCGCAATACTGCAATAGTTTACACTGACCAAAAGTGTTTATTGACTAACTAAAGTTAAAGTTATTATTAATTTTTTTCGAAGTAAATTTTTTTACTGATTCGTGATCAGAATAAGCTACTTAATCAACTCCCTAAATATGGCGAGTATTGAAATCAACACCCTGTATTTCGTTTGTCGTATTTCCTAAGAAAAAAATTTAAGGCTGGGTTGCGCACCACTAAACGGTCAAATCGTAAATATAACGATAAACGATGATTTTTTGTATGAAGTTTGACAGATTTTTGACATTTATTACAGTAAAAGTAAGATGGTGCAATCCAGGTTATGTATAGTTTTTAAAGTTATTTGCGCATTTGGATCAGATAATAAAGAAACTTGTACTTTGGAGTCTTTGACGGCTTTTATACATTAATGCATCAATGTTTTTGTGTTTAAAGTAACCCTTGACAATAGCGCCCTCAGTCAATGTCACAGGCGTGGCGTCACAGGTGGGACGGTTGAGAGAAGTTATTAATAGTCCAACTATAGATGACCCACGCTGAACTGTCCCACCAAACTCAATGACAGGGGGGCGCTACCATCGTTCAACTATATGGTTTCCAACATGGCAAAAGTCGGAATCAGCGATCCGCCCCCCTAGACAAAACGCACTTTTTGATCGAATCGAAAATCGAATCCGTCAAAACTCCATACAAAAAAGGGGCTTTTCGACCACTTTTCGACTGGTTTGCGATTATAATTTGCACTTTGTCTAGACCCACCGGTATTGACGGTGGCGCCCCACTGTCAATGTCATGGATAGGACAGTTCAGTATTTTGGAACTACCTATATTGAACCGTCCCATACACAGATAAGGATAGATGCAGCATGTGAAAAAAATTGTATGAAGCCGAGCGTGCCACTTTTTAAACGTCATTAGTGTCATTTTAGCAAATTTTAGTGATTGCTGCAACGTGAAAATAATCGTATCATCGTACTGCATTCGCAAAGTCATCGAAAGATATCGTGTGACTCGAATCGAAAATTAATTAATTCCGATAAAACTGATAATTTGTTAAATACAAAATCAAAAACATCTTTATTTACCTTTTTAAATAAATTAATTCTCACAAATCGTCAAATCTCGTTATTTTTTTACCCTACCAGCGTTTCAAGATAAAAATTTGTCAAGTGCATGAATACATGGATCAGTATGTGTCTTATTGTTATGAGTAAGTACGGTTCCTTGGGATCGGTATGAGTGCACCACATACAGGGACCATGGTTTTAACTCTTAAGAGTACATCGCAGGATATGGGTATTTCGCCAAAAATGGTCAATTTTGCCTAATTTCCTTGGCACGAATTTTATTTTTGTTTTTAACTATTTTTTGTTTCCCAATGCATTAAGTAGTAAAAACTAAGCTAATATATCTAGAAGGGGTGTCATAATTCGTTTTAGAAACAAAGTTATGAGGTCATAAATTTTTGGTAGCCAAGGAAATTATTATAAATATTTTTTTCTCTAAGTTTTCTTCTGTGGTTTGTTTTTTTTTTGTTCGCCTCATTTTTGTGTACTTTCGCAAGCAAACATGCCAATGAATATTATATCATTACGACCTTTTTACACAACTAAGGAAGATAAATGCAGTAGATTGGGTTAAGAGTTAAAAACAAGTTATTCTTTATCTATTCTGATACCTATTTCTTAAAATGTAAATTTTAAACTTATTCCAATAAAGAAATACTCAAAATTTGACTTTACGCCGAATTATTAAAGGTCTTTTATAATTTCCTAGGTCATTTTATGCCACCAAAGAAATTGACTTTTTAGTAAACAAAAACCCAAGGAGGGACCTGTTTATGCGATTTGTCGCGAAACTGATCAACGACGTACTGTCCTGCCGCAATGGCCTCTTGGGATGAAATGACCGAGTGTAGTGGTGCAGTGCGTTACATTCTAAGTTTTTTCGTTTCATTACAATAATGGTCGAAACGAAGACCCAGGGAAATTATACTTTTGACCTGGACAAGAACTTAACTTCACTTTATTTTCTTCCTGTAAGTATTTGACATTTAAAGTTTTTATTTTCCGATAGCCAAACGTTTCTCAAATGTAAAGAGAGTGCTATTAGAATTAAATTACGCTTCAATTTTTTATAATGAGCCTTCATTTTGGCAAACAACAGTAATGGACATAACAAGGAAATTAGAAAAACGACTTTTGATTAAGTTTTTCTACGGTATTATTTGTAGTTTCTGCTATTGTAATAGCAAAAACAAATAAAACTTTTCATTAACTTTCCCATAAAAATAGTTTTATACAGATAGATATAAAAAAACATGTGTTCGCCTGCCTGGACACAGAAAATTTACTGTTTCGGCGAAATACCCATATGTATTAAAAACAATGCTACTTTATACTTCTTCTACTGCTACTTTATTCTAATTAATTATTTGTTACTTGTGCTGTTAATTACAATTCTCAATCCGTAAATAATTTCTTCTTTCTACCGTGTTCGAACTACTGTCCTCGTAAAATCATCGTAACCGATTGTTGTAATCGGATTACATGAACATCACTCGACCATGTATGTCCATTTGGACATATCGGAATGGCACGCTTTGACGATCAACTTGCTGTATCTACTCTAATCCATATCTGTGGTCCCATACATCAGTGACATTGACAAGGGGGCGCGCCCACCGTCTCTTTTTTTTTTTTTTTTTTTTTGGGATGCCCACCGTCTCAATACGGGATTAAAAATTGTTTTAACTTTTTTTGACAAACATCAAAAAGTTTAATTCAACAAACTTCAAAACTACGATGACAGTTTGTTTGTGACAGTTTTGACATTGACATTTGAAAACAAGCAAGGATTTTTATTTTGTAATTGTAAACAAAACATGTGAACATCATGGGATTGTCCGATTTGCTTGGGCGGTGAATGTTTAATTTATGTGTAAATCTTCAGTTTAAACTATGATTATTGCTCTGCAGACCTTGGTTTTCTTCCGGGAGTCTCTTTTCGCTGCGATAGACCGGTTGCTCCGGCCGTATTACAAGCACTTCTCTTTGACGTTCAACCGGCACGGTAATGTCTCTGACGATGAGGAGTCCGAAGATCATGTGTTTGCGGAGTTTGACGATGAAAAAGGAGTGGTGTTCTTCCCGCCGATGTATGCACAACGGTATGCGGCGGTCAGCGACTGTCTCATGGATGAGCGATGGTGCGGGCAGCTTGAAAAGGTTAATACTGATATTAAAGCATAACAATTGTGCAGATACTTTAAACAATAAATGATCATGTAGTATTGCTATATAAACTTTTGGTCCCATCTACCAACAGTGGCTTTCTCACATGCACATTTCTTTTAACAGGTTGTGGATTTTGGATACCATGATATGAGTTTCATCAAGTATCTAAAAGAAGTTCCTGGTATCAAGAAAATTCTAGGCGTAGATATAGAGAGCATCCCTTTGAGGTGTTCATCAGACCTGCTTGGTTGTGAAGAGTATGTGCCTAAGAGAGAGAACCCGCTTCAGGTCATAGTAAGTTGTTTTTCTTTCACTTTTTTGTGTTATTCAGACTGAAATAAAAAGTTGTTACAACAGTCTGGTGAAGGATGCTGGAAGTATCTGGATGTGAGCAGTACAGGACTTGTGGTTGTATTTCTATAGAGGAGGCCTTTGTTTAGCTGAGACGAACAAAAATTTAATCTAAATTAAAACAATCTAATAATTTATTTCTAAAACATAAGTGGAAGAATACATGTGGTATAAAAATTTATTCTACTCAAGTTTTTCATTTCAGCTGTATCAAGGCAACGCAGCAGACCCTGACTACAGGCTCATCGGCTGTGATGCCGTAATTGCAATTGAGATGATCGAGCATATGCTACCACATGACTTGGAAAGGATTGTGCACACCATATTTGGGTTCATAAAGCCACGGATCGCTATCATTACCACTCCTAATGGTGATTTTAATCCATTGTTCAAAGCTTTAGAGAAAAATGGTCTAAGGAGGTTGGATCACTTTTTTGAATGGTCCAGAGAGCAGTTCCATGACTGGTAATTAACATTACATTTTATCACTTTGACAATAATAACAAAGTTTAGAGATTTGCTTGAGCATTTTATACTTATGATTAAAATCCTATGCACACCGCGTTTTTTAAGCGCTCTGTCGACGTGCGTTTAAATAACGTGTGCATAGGCCCTAAGCTGCCAAGCTGTTTAATTTTTTTTAATCTCAAAGATTTTTGTCTGATTTTTCAGGTGTAGCAATATTGTAGTCCGGTATCCTCAATACACAGTTTTCTGTAGAGGGGTGGGGCCAGGCCCTCAGGGTACAATACACTACGGTTGTTGCAGTCAACTGGCTCTCTTTGTCGCCAAAGATTACCACAAGCAGCAGGACTTGAATTTGAACAGCCTTGCATTAGTACCAAGTGAGTGGATAATGTCTTTTGCCAGTTACTTCTAAATATTTAGATGTAGCCAATACTATTTTGTAGACAGTATTTGTGGCCTAAGATGTAACATCTTTATTATCAAGTTTTCTTTATATTTCAGAAGTACCAAGTCCTTTCAATGTGTGTGAAATGATTGGAAGCATAGACAGTCCTGGTGTGCTAACAGACAGTAACAACATGCTGTGTTCGCCTAACAAGTAAGATCAAAATATCTGATAAACTTCCCCTAAGGCCCCTCGCCCACGGCGGCTTTTTGTGGCGATGCAGTAGCAATTCTGTCGCGCGTTCGCATCGATACAGTCGCAATGCGGTTGCTAGCGGTGTGCCCTCGCCCACATAAACGCGCTTCTGTCGCGATGCAAACGCAATACTGTCGTGATACAAACGCGATTCAGTAACCCTCCCTCCGTTCTCTCCCGATGTCGTCCGACACGGTCGCGCGTTTGCATCGATACAGTCGCAGCTGTAGCGCGTTGGCATCGCTGCTGTAGTGCGTTGCAAATGCAACTAACGCCCGTTAGTAGCGATGCTGTCGTTCGTTTACGAAACGCGTGACCAGGGCCGTCTTTAACCTACTAAAGGCCCTAGGCATTTTAGGATTAAGGGGGGCCCTTATCATCTGGAAAAAGGTCTTATATGGCCCTGGGCACGTGCCCAAAGTGCCCAGTGGGAAAGAGGGGCCTGCGCGTGACAGCATCACTACAAAAAGTCGCAGTGGGCGAGGTCCCTAAGCTTTGCCCTTCCCTTTACTTCCTTTCCTATCCTTTTCCAGCATGGATTCCTACACTGAGCTAGTGTTCTCTGACAAGCAGTCTTGCGTCACTATCATGCTATCTCCTTCCTTTTCTCTCGACTCGATGGAGTGTCGCGACAACACTGCACAGTGTAACCTTGATAAGGAACTAGGAAAGAACTTTTTGTTTGACGAAGAACCTTGTTTTGGCGTGCTTTGGCCGAGAAGGAAGAACGATAATCGGGTGTATGTCATTGAAGATGTCAATAGCAGGTCACACAGTCTATTTTTTTCTAGTTAGATTATTTGTAGAATTTGATTGTAGAAAGTCTTAATTTCATCATCATCATTTGAGCCATAGTACGTCCACTGCTGAACATAGGCCTCCCCCAATGATTTCCACAATGGCCGGTTAGTGGCGGCCTGCATCCAGCGCCTACGCTGCGCTTTCCGGTACGTGACCTCCACTTCTGTCTTAATTTAATGACCTAATGTACAAAACAAGTACATGCTATTGCTCATATTTCAACATGAAAGAGAACAACTAAAGTAATCAATGGCAGACACTACTCATTGAAAAATGCTTCAATAAATTCATATTTAAATTTTTCGTAGTTGCCTATTCTCTTTTGTTGTATTATAGCCTTACTTTATCAAAATCTAATTTCCTTTCAGGTTAAACTGTACAACGCTTCAAGTGAAAAAATTCTCAAAAATAACCCAGAATATGTTAGCAAGGAACAGAATAGACTCCCTCGGTCATACCAGGGAGGTTGTGGATGAGATCAAGCACCTAACCAAGATGTTGAACTTCAAAAACGAAGCAATAGATAAGGTTGAGGGCTCCCAGATATGGAACAACATCAACTGGGGCGACAATGCACCGTACTGGAATCAATATTACAAGATTGTTAGGGAATACAACTATCCCTTTGAGGTAATCTAAAAATAAACTTTAAGATCTGATTGAAGTTTAGAGCCAGATATTAATTTGACCTTAAAATTATACTAACAGGAATTGCAATGTTTCTATAAGCTTTCAGCATCATGTAGATTGTTGTGCATCACGTCATAATGTCCTTGTAGATTTTCCACTGACATTTAAGGGAGAGTCCGGTAATTTGGACCAGTTTTTTTCAATCCCATTTTACACATAGTTTTCTTTTGTTTTTGCTAATGTTCATGGTATATAATTAAAGATAAATTATTCAACTTAATATTTCATAGGTATTAATCAACACAATTTTTGTATATTTAGCACAAATCAACAAAATACGAGTTCAGAGCTTCGGTCCAATTTAGCCAACCGGTTCGATAATTTGTACCACTGGGTTACTAAATTGGATTTAAATAAATTTCAAGCCTATAAAAAAAACTATGGCAAAATATTATACGGTACATTCTTAACAAATTAGGTAACGAAAAGGAACAGTAGTTAATAACATAGACAATGGATATTGTTTACACGTTATCACGATTTTGAGTTAAAGTTTTGTAATTCCAATTATCGTAACGCACACTTGTACCTAATCTACTTTGCCAGTCTTTTGCTTTCATTTATTGTTAGTCAAACATAACTACGCTATTATAACTTCAAAATATGAGGCCGCTGTGTATGTGTACGGTCGCAAGTCTAACCTAACCTAACCGAGACTTTGTTATCCAGCTACAGGAGTACTAAAACCTTCATGCCAATAACAGTTTAATAAAAGAGATGTTAAAATTAGGGTTTTCCAATACTTCAGCGTAATATGCGTGATGCCGAAAGAAAGGTATGCCAATAGGCAAATATTTTTTCAGTCAAAGTATAATAGTGTGAAAACAACTTTCAGGCTAAACAATAATAGTTGTGAGTTAAAAGTACCTATCGGCTAATGTGGTTTGGCTAAATGAAATTTTAGACGTACTGAGGGGCACCCGATCACACGACCGCGCTTGTGTCGCTTAGTTTTATACATTTCCTAATACAATATTGGAATTCTATAAAATTCCTAGGAAAAGTATACATGTCCTAGGATATGTGCGTATTAAAAAATCTCTGAAGCAATATTTTATACATTTCCTAAATAGCTTCGGAATTGTATACATTTCCTAGGAATAGTATACAATTCCTAGAATTCATACATTTCCTGTAACATATATATAGATATGAGGGACAGTATGTGTATAGTTTACAGAGTTATAAAATATGTTTATTGTTTTAAGGCGAAGACAGAAGAAGGTCGCATCCTCGACTTGATATCGGACGAGATAAACAGGCTTATAGACTCTCAATACGAAGAGGACTTCTCAGTCGATGCCAACAAGCTGGAAATACCTCTAGATTACCTGATGCGAGCTGTTCAACACATAACTAATGACGTGGAGAAAGTTAAGTGAGTATTGTCTTTTTACCATCACAATGAGTCTTTGTTTGACAATAATATTATTAAATACTAGCTTTCCACCCGCGACTGCGAAAAACCCAAATATTTTACGGAACCCTATTTTTTTCCAAATAATATCTAATGTAGCTTTCGAATGGTGAAAGAATTTTTAAAAACGGTCCAGTAGTTTTTGAGCCTATTCATTACAACTAAACAAACAAACAAACAAAGTTTTCCTCTTTATAATATTAGTGTAGAAAAGGAATACGCCCACATCGAACGCCCCGCCCATTTGTCATTAATTGGCGCCAAGTGTATTTTTTAAAGAATATTAGTAATTAGTATTTACAAATCACCGTTAATCCCTCGTGGTAAGCTAAATCTTGTTGCTTGTGTTACGAGTGTGTTCACAATAATCCAGCGGCGTGGCGGGGTTCGAATCCGTATTCATCGGATCCACAGATATGGATTAGAGTAGATACAGCAAGTTGATCGTCAAAGCGTGCCATTCCGATATGTCCAAATGGACATACATGGTCGAGTGATGTTCACGTTGTTAATTGTAATCCGATTACAACAATCGGTTTCGATGATTTTACGAGGACAGTAGTACGAACACGGTAGAAAGAAGAAATTATTAACGGATTGAGAAATGTAATTAACAGCACAAGTAACAAATAATTAAATTAGAATAAAGTAGCAGTAGAAGAAGTATAAAGTAGCATTTTTTTTAATACAGGAAATAATATAGAAATAATGATAAAATCACAAAATTTTAATTGATGTTAAAATTTTGTGATTTTTTATCATTATTTCTATATTATTTCCTACACTAGCCCAAGTTAACATGGTCATATAAATAGTATGGTGAAGTCAGTTTGATATCATTATTTTAATGATTTTAATTTTCATACAAAATAAATTTTATAAAATCCGATTTGTATGAAAATTAAAATGAAGATATCAATTTTCTGACTTCACCATACCATTTATATGACCATGTTAACATGGGCTAGTGTCGGCTCATATACCCATTTACCTAACATCCTGTATAGAGTTTATTTTAATCACACAGTTAGACTAGCTATAAATAGCAAAATATCAGTTTTATCGGAATTAATTAATTGTCTAATCGAGTCACACGATACATTTCGATGACTTTGCGAATGCAGTACTATGATACGATTATTTTTACATTGCGGCAATCACTAAAATTCGCTAAAATGACACTAATGACGTTTAAAAAGTGGCACGCTCGGCTTCATACAATATTTGACACATGCTGCATCTATCCATATCTGTGATCGGATCTTACCTGACACCATTGGACTATTGTCGCTTGCGGTTGAAACAAAAGAAAAATTAAAGAAACATATTTGCTAGAGGCTTCTAAAGCACTCGAGATGGCAGCGTCTTTGTACTCTAGTCTCAAATAATTCCATTCTGGCTATTCCAGAGACCTAATGGAGTGGAACGGGTACGAGATAGTGGACGGTATGGTGATATACTCGCGGCTGGTTCTCGATAACGCGTCGCTCGGATCGCCGGACGACGAGTGGCATGACAACGACACGTTCTCTGAAGTAATCATGTTTTGATTGTATTCACTCAGTTCCCGTGATAGTACGGCAAAACATAAAATCTTAAACTTCAATTGATTTTGAACCGTATATTCAAGGAGTAAAGTTCAAAATCTATCAGCAATCTTCGACATTTTGCGGCAGGTTGACCTTTTGGTGACTACAATATTTTGCAAGTATTCGTTTCGTAAACGTCATTTTTTGATCTAATTTTCGTTCGTTATGAAAACGTTTATGCGATAAGCAAGCGGGATTGCTGCTGTGATCACCATTAGAGATTGCAATCCGGATTATTCGAAATTCGAAAATATCTGAAAAATCCGGATTTTGAGGCTTTAAAAAAATCCGGATTTTTACTTTGAAATCCGGTTTTTTCGAATATTTTTACCCCAAAAATTTTATCATAAAATCATAAACCAAAATATCTATTGAATGCAACATGGATGCAAAACAAGCGAAGTTTTGATTGAACGAACCCGCACTTCGTCGCACAACACTCACACCTGCACTGTGCCTGCACAATGACGCGTCATGCCGCATGCGTAAGTGAATTCGCTAGTCGGCCAGTGAGTTTTATACGAGACGCTGATTCTGAAACACCATATCGCTGAGTTTTAAAGTGTAAGTCATTATCATCATCATCATCTCAGCCATAGGACGTCCACTGCTGAACATAGGCCCCTTGCCCAATGCTTTCCATGTTGCCTGGTTGGTAGCGACCTGCGTCCAGCGCCTTCCTGCTACCTTTATGATGTTATCGGTCCACCTTGTGGGTGGACGTCCCACGCTGCGTTTTCCGGTACGCGGCCTCCACTCCGAATTCAAATTATTTATTGCATGTCACTCCAGAACCTTGCTGCCCCATCGGCCGTCAGTTCTGCGTACTATGTGCCCTGCCCATTGCCACTTCAGCTTGTATCCGTCGGGCTAGTATGTCAGCGACTTTAGTTCGTTTACGGATCTCCTCATTTCTGATTCGATCTCGTAAAGAAACACCGAGCATAGCCCTCTCCATAGCACGCGAGGCCACGTTTCCGAACCATAAGTCATCACTGGTAACACACATTGGCTGTAGACCTTAGTCTTCAGGCACTGAGGTATTTTGGACGAAAAGATGTTGCGTCGTTTACCAAACGCTGCCCAGCCGAGTTGGATTCGACGATTGGCCTCTTTCTCGAAATTGGACCTTCCCAGCTGAATCGTTTGTCCGAGGTAGACATACTTGTCAACAATCTCGAGAATTGAGCTTCCAACCGAAACTGGGTAGGGCGCAACATGGACATTGGACATAAGCTTTGTTTTCTCCATATTCATCCGCAGGCCAAGTGTAAGTAGAGATCTTCAACCTCGCCCATCAAGTTCACCCAGCGGATTCGATTTGCTTACATTAATTCATCTCGAAATGTTATTGTATGAGAATGGGAGTGTCTGTGGAGAAGTCCTTAAAAGAGTTCTAAACAGGTTGTTGGATATACCGCCAACCGTTTAGCTGGGTTGATGATGGAGTCAAGAGGTGACCATAGGAACTCTTAAACGAAACGGCGGAATCGCATCGAACTTGGGTTCGTTAGATTTGTCTTTTCGAGCACTTTAGTGCTAGATGATGCCCAGGGTCCTGATGATGGATTCGGGAGGTGGCCATAGGAACTCCCAAACGAAACGGTGGAAACTCATCGAATTTGGGTTTGTTGGATTTGTCTTTTCAAGCACTTAAGTGCTAGATGATGTTCAGGGTTCTGATGATGAATCAGGAGGTGGCCATAGGAACTCCTAACCGAAACGGCAGAAACTTATAGAGTTTGAGTTCGTTGGATTGGTCTTCCCGAGCACTTTGGCCGTAAATAATGACCAGGGCCCTGAGATTGAAATTCAACTTAAAAGTGTAAAATAAAATTACAATAAAAAAATGAGCTCCCCTGGCCTACCTGGAAATCTTTATAGACTTCAGACAGGTCTGCCGTAGTAAGGACAATCTGTTCAGGTGTCAGGTAGGGATACTTAGATGGATCAAACTTGGAGTGCAAGTGTGGTTTTGTTCCCCAGTCGACGAAGCACATGATGTCGTGCCCTGCGTGCCCAAACAACTGCTCGCAGGAAGATTTAATGAAGGCTACTGACAACGCCATTCTTGTGGCGGAGTTTTGGGCTGACGCTGTGTAGGTTTGTTGTCGAGTCGACACGACAAGAAGAAGAGTAAAAAAAATATTTTATAGGTACAAGCAAGTTTTTATTCTGAAATGCATTTGTACTAAAACGAAAAAAATAATGCAAAGTTCAAATAATTTCGAAAGCTTGTAGCGCAAACCGAAAAAAAGAGGAATAAATTCCATGCGGGATAATAAAATAAAACGCTTTTCTTCAAATACCTACTTACATCTTTTTGAAAAAAAAACTACGTTTTATTTAAATTAAATTGGTGGTTTAAAAAATTTACCCAATATTCGAAAAATCCGGATAATCCGGATTTGTACGTAACACAAATCCGGAAAACCGGATTTAAGAAAAATCCGGATTTTGCAATCTCTAATCACCATGATTTGTTATACGTTCGGTCAAGACCATCAGACGAAGGTCATGCATGCATCACATCTTTTATCTTAATGTTTTTAAAAAGTTTTGCTATTTATGTTAGTTAAATATTTCTCCCCATTACTATTCATGTAAGGAATAACGTTTTTGTTGCATTTTAATGTTAGTTGTATGGCAACATTAAGTTAACGGTTAAAATATGTGCCATTATTCCTAGACCTATAAGCTATTCAAAAAGTTTGTTTTAATTTAAGAAAGTTAATATTGTGTTTTAAGGAATTAAAGAAATGTTTTTATAAATAAATTTTATATTCTTCCAAAAATAAACCCCTATCCTTTTAAATACTTGACGCTCTTAGAATTATTTTAGTACCTACAAAGAACATAAAAAATTAAAATTCTAAAGTTTAACTCGTATTGCTCTTTACAGTGGGATACTGACGTTCATTCCACTTCGTTTTCCGATGGAAGCACTATCGTGCCAGACTATCACGGTTAAATATTTTTGCTATTCTTATTTTTAGTTTTTGATTGTTTACTTTTTCTATTAGTAGCAGAATCACTTTCAAAACAGGACAAAAGATGGCGTAATTATGGACCATTTATGGTGCATTAGGTTATTATTGATCGCCACACGATATTTTCGATAAGCTCAAAATTTAATTAGTTAAATTACATAGTAAAAGGTAGCAAGTCGCGTACAAGTGACAAGTGTACAGTCAATAGCACATCAACACATGTTGGTTGCCACATTCACTCTATTAGGAGCCCGTAAAATGTCAAAGGGTAAGTTCCGTTATAGCACTGATATCACTGCTCTGTTCTCACTGGTAGGCATGCAGCACCAAGCATCTTGATGTGTTATCGACACTACCCACGAAAAATTTCGTTCGCAACTTGTGCCAGTTACAGGCAGTTGGTTCTAGCTGACATTAGCAGTGACGCATATTGTAAACGTTCACGAGTATTTCAGCATTACCAAGCCGTTGTCTTCACCGAGCTCTGGACCGTAAAGTGAAGAAGCTACGATCAATGCTGTCAGCTGATGAAGATATAACAACTGAACTGGACCGAGTGGTCTGCCGGCTCATGAAGTTGGCACTTAGAACCACCAGGCGGCGCCAGTCGCCGTTACCTATGAAGTGGATGCAATGCAAGATGCTGGATTTGCTGAATCTGACAGAAAAGGCGATAGAGAAGAAGAAAAAGCATTATGTGGAGACGTATCCGTTGAAAGCTATTTGTTATGGTAAGTTGATTTATTGAATTTTGTACTTTTGATTTTGTGGCACGAGGGTTCGCTTATTTACTTGTTAATTCATATATTTTGCAACTTTAGATGACCAAATTGCAAAACAAGAAGAATTTAATCTCAGCAAGATAAAAGAAGATGAGACAGCGTAAGAAATAATCTGGTGCTTAGTTTGAATTTAACAATGATTGAACATGTAAAAGATATTGATTGTATTGTTCTAGGAACGAAATTGTGCATAAGTACCGACATTTAGTTCGATCGTCAGGTAAAGTTTGTGCTTTAAATTATATGTAATTTTAACTTTGAATTAGTCTTACAATTTTGTTATCATACACAGGTAACACCACTTCAGAAGATATGCAAAAATATCAGTACTACGATGATATTAGCCATAAAAGTAGTAAAGAGTTTATCAAAGATGAAATATCCAGCGATTTAAGTACGTACTTTATTATTTTACGTGAATATTAAAACTTAGAGAGACAGTTAGAAGACAATATGTTTCATTCTAGATTTCGAAGACATTATACGCTCACCATCCCTGGTAGACATAGAACCAGTTCCCGATCACCCCATAAAACCAAGAAAGGTCTCATATGGCAGAAATGATACTCCGCTATCCAGAACGCAAGCATGGCTTGAAGAAGATGTAAAAGTAGTTAGATATCCCAAACATAGCGCTCACGGAATCAGTTCTGGTGACACAGATCATAGTGTGAACAACGTTGTCCGTTTCAAAAATAAAAAGAGTCATAGAAAACACAAAATATCAGCTGATGTGAAAGAAGCAGACTTGGACGTTAAGCGACGCAAGAGATCTGCAAGCAAAACTTCTTATGATAAACATAAGTCAAAGAATGTTGATAAGAACAAAAACAAAGATAAAACCAGCAAAACACGCCTGATAAAGAAAGTTGCTAAGAAGAAATCCAGCTATAATATTTTGATTAAGAGTTGCAGCACAAAAGTTTCAACGGCGAACTTTGGGAATATTGTAAAATCCAAGAGAAATTTAAAGCCAAATGTTATGCAACCGTCAGCATCTAAACCGGTAATTAAAATTATAGTTTTAGTTTTAATTTATTAGACTTTAATTGCGTATGATAACTATTGTAAGGTTTTTGTAGATTCCTGAGATTTTGATGGATATTATCAACATGGATACATGTATAGAGAACAAAACTCAAGATATTGATGTTCTAAGACGCGATAACTTTCAAGATGTCGATTCTATCGGAGAAGTGAATTTTGAGTCGAATATTGCAAATACTGAGGAAAGCCTTTTGATTGACATAGTGATGGATGACAGAGAAGAAACGATTGCCCTACGCCGTACTATAGGGACTGATGCCGATGACGAAACAGTGCTTTTTGAGCAGGAGACAATCCTAGGAAGCTTAACCAATATTATGAAAGCTGACAGCTTTTATGACAAACACGAAACTGAGAATGTGCATTCGCAAAATATATTCATTTACGGTAATATTGTGTTCCTCTTCTAAGTTAAAACCGGTTCAATTAGGCACTGATAAACTAATTAATCACTTACAGATATTAATGAACCAAGCACATCTAAAGGCGTTCGACACGTGAGCATGGATGTCCAATGTGGTCCCGATGCTACAAACATGTCTGCCATGCTATCTGCAACTACATCGTTTACCAAACTACCCAAAATATTCAATACTGGCATTAAAATTGGAGACTCAATATCTGACATTCAACATCCTTTTAAACCGAAAGACGTCCCCTGCCTGACGAAGGACATACAGCATAGTGAAAAAAATTGCAACGACTTTGGCACTTCGACTAATGAATGCACCAACGCCTTTAAAACCATATCTCCTAGGACTAAGTCAGTTGGTATTAGAATCAAAGATTCTGACACTAATATTAGGGAAAGAGTTGAAAGTGGAACTATGACTCTCGAAAACGAAATTTCACATGCTGCCGCTTCTATTCCACACAGTTTTGATTCGGCAACAGAGACCCGACTGCTGAAACCCGTTTCCAGTCGAATCAAGATGGAAGATTCTGGTTCCGAGTTTTGCGAAAGCGTGGGAAGCTTTCGGAAAAGTCAATATCCTTTCGCCAATTTGTCGAAAAACACTAGCGATTCCCAAATGAATTCGGTTTCGGTGAGTAAAGATGTTGGAATAGAACGAAAATTTTCGAGTAAATATATTCGTCCTAAATTGTGCTGCGGTGGTGTTCATGTGCATAGTTACAAAGATAGACAAACTAGTGAGGATGTGGTCTATCAAGGGGAGTGGCAGCGTTACAGACCCAAATCTCTAGTTAAAAGAAAACCTATTAACTCTGTAGTCGCTAAAAAAGTTAACGAACTAGCTAGTAAGAAATCCAAAGTGAATTGTAAAGAAAACATAGACGTCAACAAAGATATTAAATTGCACCAGTTCAATAAACGGCTGCCAATTCGCAACGCCAACCTGAAGAAAATCATCAAAGACGATGCACCAAAACAAGAAGATAAGAAATCGACAAGATCGCATGAATGTCCAAAAACTGTTAAATTCAATAGGAATGTAACAAAGGTAACAAATCGTATAAAACTTCAACTAATTATAGCTGTATTTAATGTTTCATAATGTACAAATTATTCCAGGTATCAACTAAGTTGGTGGCAAGGTATGTCTTATTGATGTGTATTTAATTTATTGCATAACAGCAATCCTGATATATTATTCTTTTAATTGCAGTTCTGTATTGACAAAGCCTAATAAACCTTCTTTTGTGACGAAAAAACCTTCTATGACATCAGCAACATGCGTCGTTAAGAAAGATGGCGAAAAACCAATAAGATGCTGTAAGAAAAGTTATTTGCCAGTTTATTTAAAACGAAAGTTGGCAATTAAAAATAACAACAATAATTTGATTCAACAAAGTGAATCGTCTAATACTATCACTGAAACAAAACCAATTGTCCAACTTCCTGACGTCGTTGAGTCTATTATAAACGACGATAATAAGAAAGAATTATTGGACGCCGTAGACTTTGAGTTTGAGCCAAGAGAAAACGTCAGCTACGTTATTTTTAGAAATGAAATTGAGACTAACAAAAGTACCCCTGTACCTGAAAGTTCTTTACCTCCTAGGGAATGTTTAAGGCGTAGGGATAATACAGATAAAAGATCGCCTAGTCCTCAGTCGCAAAATAGTTCTGCATGCTCATCACCTAATAGTATTGCTACTGTAAAAGCACGACCAGCATCAAAGAATACCCCTGATCGACGTTTTTCTACTTCATCTAATAAAAGTAATCTAAGCAACAGTGCATCCGAAACTACGCCAGTTAAAACTAAAAAGTTTACGAAAAGAGCTAAAACCAATAAAAAACCACAAGAAAAAGAATATGACAATAAAGAAAACGTCCCGGAATCTTCAAGAAAAAGCAAAGAATCTGAGAGAAGTCCACCTAAGACAGCTTTTATGAGAAACAAAAACGTATTTAGAGCGCATGTAACGGCAGAATGTTCTCCACAAACTGCATCTACTTTGTCCAGACACAGACCACAAACAGCTAATAAATCCAATGTGAGAATACCTACAGTTCCGTGCTCTAGTGAGAAACCAGCAAGCAGCACTTCCTCAAGACCTTCAGTTTCCAAAAAAAGCTTACCAAAATCACGCACGTCTTTGCATTCCGAAAATAAAAGTGATAGAAATTTAAATAAATCGGATTTAACATCGTTAGGTTCTCCACCACAAAATTTACTTAATCCTTCAAATGAAGACGTTACGATGAATATTGTCGATAATAGTTTATTATCAGAATGGATGAATTCTACCTACAAAAGTGTGATAGAAAGTCACACAAGCAACATATTAGCTGCTATGAGACAACTAGTTGAAGAACGGTTAGACTTTATTGAACGACTATCAGATAATTGCTTAGAAGTTGACTCCAAAACTGTAGTTTTGAGTGAAGATCAGCTTGAAAGTCTTTCAGTCAGCGCATCAACAAGTTTCCATGACAGTTCTTCGCTAAACAATAGTTTTGGAACTGTTATTGCGAAAGAAGATGATTTAAACAGTGTAGATATCAACGACATACAGAACATAGTTAACAATACTCTTGATTCCGTTTTGGGCAATGAATCTATTGTAAGTTTAACCGATTCGAGACGCACGACCACTGATCTTGATTTACTCTCGTTTAAGTCTCTCACATCTGCTTCTAAGATATCTGAATATTTCTTGGCGGAGAGTTCTCTAAATAACATAACTGAATCCTTGCAAAATACAAGGATTCCTGTGACCGGTTCTCTTCGGGATTTATTCGAGAGAAGAAAGCAACTTACTGTACAGGTATGATAGCAAGTAAATACAAGCTCTTTTGTAATAAATCAATAGCATTATTGTGCTTTAAGATGTTACAGCACTTACAATAGAAGATAATGCAACCCCAGCTAATTTGCAGAATCCAGGAGCCCTGGCTGTACAAGCTTTTAGTGGTTTTTCAATGAATATTGAGCCAGTAGCTGGCGACCAACCCGATCATATCAACATCATCGATTCTGAAACTGGTAGCTTGGCTCTGGAGTTCACTAGACAAGCTGTAAGTGAAATTATATCTTAATGGAATTCAATTAGAGACTATAATGTTAATGACATCTTTGTTTCGCAGACGTCTGAAGAAGTGTTCATATCAGGAAGATCGTCATCCAGTTATGAATCTTGTCTCATCGATGATGATACTGTAGTACCATACTGGCTGTTCCAGATTATAAGTCAGCAGCAGTCGGTAAATAATGAGCTTTCCAATAATTGTTTTGACGTACAATACTATTGTATTGTATTGTACTTGTACAATAGTTCGCCTCAGCGTCAAATAGTTCGTGACACCTAAAGTAGCCCAAAAATTCGAAACATGTTTTGTTACAATTGGATTAAGGTGGTATTATCATTTTTTGGCCTCTTAGAGTGTCAGGAACTACACTCGGCATCAAATAAATCGCACCTCCCGCGACAAGCACTTATCAAACGTATGCATCCCCACTTCCCACCAACATTGGTACCATTTGAAAGCCTAGTTCTAAACTTCATTTCATTAAAGGAAAGGTTTTTACCCCAAAAATGTGTCTTTACAAGGATCCAGAGTCACTTCTTCAAAAATAGGTAGTTACGCTATAGCCATTTTTTATGACTATAAAACTGTTAAGTTGGGATTAATCGCTATCCATCCGTTAAAGAGGACACGTGAGATCTTTATTTGGTTTTATAACCATCAAAATTGGTCTAATTGATCCCAGAGGTGAGCCCAAAGTGAGGTCTATTTTCAAGTCACATTTATGGTAAATGTTAATCATTTATTTAGAAATGAAATGTATTTTTCTTTAAGGATATTTATTGGGCTTTCAAATAACACCAATATTGTTGGGGTACCATGATTGTGTCAGAAGAAAATCTTCAAAGTTCGCGTCGCGGAAGGTGCGGTTTATTTGATGTTGAGTGTATTTGACACTGACTACGCTGAAAAACAACTTTTTTTAGTAACATTTTTTTTCTTTTGGTGATCTAAAGAAACAACTTATTCTCTATTCACATAATTGAGACATTAACTTTCATATGAGTAACAGTGACTTACCTGATCTTTTCCACCTACAATGCTATTGAACTCCTTGCGACAAGTGTAAGCACCTATTGATCCTTGACTCTCTTATTCTAGGTCGACGAAGAGGAAGAAGATGAGCCAGAAGAGTTACTGCCTATACCAGTGCCTCTCCCAGAGCCGATGTACGATGTTAACGGGAATGTATTAGAGGCGGGCCCGGGGGCGGGTGCGGGCGACGGCCGCGGGATTCACAGCGACCACTCGCAAGACAGCTCGGGACGTGGGACATCGTTGAGCTCTAGTGCTACGTCGTCTGGGCCGCAGAGCGAAGTACGTGTACTTAGTATACACTTGTTTTTATAGCATTATCGTTGTGCAATAGTTGCTCTTTTGGAGCCAATGTACGATGTCAACGGCAACGTATTAGAGGCGGGCCCGGGGGCGGGTGCGGGCGACGGCCGCGGGATTCACAGCGACCACTCGCAAGACAGCTCGGGACGTGGGACCTCGCTGAGCTCTAGTGCTACGTCGTCTGGGCCACAGAGTGAAGTACGTTTACTTAGTATACACTTGTTTTTATATCATTGTGAAATAGTTGCTCTTTTGGCGCCAATGTACAATGTGAACGGCAACTTATTAGAGGCGGGCCCCGGGGCGGTGGCGGGCGACGGCCGCGGGATTCACAGCGACCACTCGCAAGACAGCTCGGGACGTGGGACATCGTTGAGCTCTAGTGCCACATCGTTTGGGCCGCAGAGTGAAGTACGTGTACTTAGTACATACTTGTTTTTATATCATTATCGTTGTGAAATAGTTGCTCTTTTGGAGCCAATGTACGATGTCAACGGCAACGTATTAGAGGCGGTTGCGGGCGACGGCCGCGGGATTCACAGCGACCACTCGCAAGACAGCTCGGGACGTGGGACATCGTTGAGCTCTAGTGCTACCTCATCTGGGCCACAGAGTGAAGTACGTTTACTTAGTATACACTTGTTTTTATATCATTGTGAAATAGTTGCTCTTTTGGAGCCAATGTACGATGTGAACGGCAACGTATTAGAGGCGGGTGCGGGAGACAGCCGCGGGATTCACAGCGACCACTCGCAAGACAGCTCGGGACGTGGGACATCGTTGAGCTCTAGCGCTACGTCGTCTGGGCCGCAGAGTGAAGTACGTTTAACTATAGTCTTTTTCACCTAAGATGATCCGTATGACGTTTCGAGTTTGAAAGATTTAGAGATGTCACATAACTAAACCATAGCGATTTATCTATCGATTTTTTTCGAAGAGTTAGTAAAACCTACTTTTAGAGAAATATTTTGTATAGGTGTTATTTAACAAAAAACATATTTTTTTTAATTACAGATATTGTTTTAACAATTTTTTATTGATAATATTCAAATTTCATGGTTCGTGTTCAAAAAAACTATTCCTAAAAAGTACTGGTTCTGTTTCTTTAAATTAAAAACTAATAATTTATTTTCAATGCGTTTATTAAAGTCAATAATCGAAAAATATAGTTGATTTTTGTGATGTTTTTAATAACTAAGTATTCACTGCAATCGATTAATGAACCGCGGAAATAATCGATTTTATTATACAAGAAATACCCCAGCACTAAATCTATTCCGTTTCACACATTCCGTTTCATAAATAAAAAATATTTTTACATCGTATTTAATTAAAATATAATCAATAGACTCAGATTTTACTATATATTTCAAGACAAGTAGTTAATTTTTTTTATTATATTGCTAATAAAATATAAATATTTTTTCAAAAATATTCTGCATATGTAGTATGCGTAATATGGATAACCTTGAAGTGTCATACGGATCATCTTACGTGAAAAAGACTATAGTATACACTTGTTTTTATATCATTGTGAAATAGTTGCTCTTTTGGAGCCAATGTACGATGTGAACGGCAACGTATTAGAGGCGGGTGCGGGAGACAGCCGCGGGATTCACAGCGACCACTCGCAAGACAGCTCGGGACGTGGGACCTCGCTGAGCTCTAGTGCTACGTCGTCTGGGCCGCAGAGTGAAGTACGTTTACTTAGTATACACTTGTTTTTATATCATTGTGAAATAGTTGCTCTTTTGGCGCCAATGTACGATGTTAACGGGAATGTATTAGAGGCGGGCCCGGGGGCGCGTGCAGGAGACAGCCGCGGGATTCACAGCGACCACTCGCAAGATAGCTCGGGACGTGGGACCTCGCTGAGCTCTAGTGCTACGTCGTCTGGGCCACAGAGTGAAGTGCGTTTACTCACTTGTTTTTATATCATTGTGAAATAGTTGCTCTTTTTGAGCCAATGTACGATGTGAACGGCAACGTATTAGAGGCGGGTGCGGGAGACAGCCGCGGGATTCACAGCGACCACTCGCAAGACAGCTCGGGACGCGGGACATCATTGAGCTCTAGTGCTACGTCGTCGGGGCCGCAAAGCGAAGTAAGCCTTATTGTCAACTAGCTTTCGGCCCGCGGCTTCGCCCGCGTGGAATTTTATCTGTCACAGAAAAACTTTATCGCGCGTGTCCCTGTATCAAAAACCGGGATAAAAGTATCCTATGTCCTTTCCCGGGACTCATACTATCTCTATGCCAAATTTCATCAAAATCGGTTCAGTGGTTTAGGCGTGAAAGCAAGACAGACAGACAGAGTTACTTTCGCATTTATAATATTAGTATAGATTGACGCTCAAAACGCTGACTTGAATCAGACTCGATTTTGATAATGTCTGACAGTAAGCTTAGCCATTTGTTTGACACACTGTTGCACACGTACTCCATATTTGGGTTGATGCCATATTATTATGAGTCCTGCAGTGGTAGAATAAATAACATTTACTTCCAGTTTCTATTCTGAAACATTAACTGGTATGCTTTGTTCCTCCGTGTAATTTTATTGTTCTTTTATTGCAGATGGCGATTCTGATCGACCCGTCAGCGTTCACGGCTCATTACGACCTGACGCGCGAACCCGTCAGCAGCTCTGTCATCATGCCGATACCGCTGCCTCTGGAGTCCCCGGACACGTCTTATATGACTGCTGATGGTATGTGCACTTTAATTTTAGCATCCTACTTGAAATAACCACACCTGAGCCCCGCATGCTTATTACAGATCTTAGAAACCGATTGCTAGTTGAACAATAGCAAAGGGACTGTTCATCATCATCATAGTCATCATTTCAGCCATAGGGGACGTCCTATGGCTGAAATGATGCTGAACATAGGCCTCCCCAATGATTTCCATGTTGATCGATTGGTAGCGGCCCGCGTTCAGCGCCTTCCTGCTACCTTTAAAGATGTCGTCGGTCCACCTTGTGGGTGGACATCCTACGCTGCGTTTTCCGGTATGCGGCCTCCACTCCAGAACCTTGCTGCCCCATCAGCCGTCAGTTCTGCGTACTATGTTCCCTGCCCATTGCCACTTCAGCTTGCTAATCCTATTGTGTCTGTTACGCCAAGTAATAAAATAATGCCTGATAACCACAGAATATGAAAAAAAAAAAATCATTTATTTCTGTAAATAGGCTTAAAAAAAGCACTTTTACACGTCCCAGTATTAACCCTACCACTGCTTCAGGACAATACATGGGCCAGTGCTAAGAAGCAGCGCAAGAAACTCAGTCACTATTGTTATTGTTGTATTTTTCTTTACAGATACAGCACGAACCAACGACATTCTAAACTCGAGCGGCGAAGGTTGCGAGCGAGCTACCGCCTCTTTGCTCGCAGCGAGCGATGCGGATGCTGACGTCAGCTCAACTGACACTGATGTACCTGACTCGTCTGACAACTGATCTGAAGTACGTGGACTCTTTACTCGATGACGTGATTGTTTATGGTGCCAAATGTGATTGTGTGCGTTTAAATTATTAGTGAATAGTTTTGTTTTCGGTGATTTACCGTTTGAGTTTGAATTCGATTAAATTATTGTTCGTTTACAACGGTTTTTATTGATTAGTTTAGGTCCTGTTCGTGTCATTCACCACATACAGAATGTTTAAATTTAATTTACGACTGTATCGATGCTGCATTAAAACGTGTTTGTATTGCAAAAGAGACTGCACGTACTATGCGATTCGGATAACTCCATATTTATCTTACACGTTCATACTAAATTAGGTTATTGATTTCATTGATTGATATTTGGTTATTGACTTACATTGAGATATTTAATACCGACTTGCCAAGAATATTGGGAAACGTTTCAAATGAGCACACAATATCGAGGAAATGTCTTTTTTGCATTTATTCATATTGTACAATCTTATAATATGATTCATTCTGCAAAATTTTACAGGCGAGCAAGAATTCATATATAAAACAGTAGCTCTTTCGTATTGTACATAACCATTTTTACCAGTATAGTGAAAACATGCGTATAGTTTTTAGTTTTAGGATAATAAATTACTTAAATACTAATTTTAAGTTTGGTTCTTTATTAATACAATATCAATAGGATTGCACTATCCTGTAAAGTTATTGGAACGTACCAAAAACATACTATGGTGCTCTCTCGATGCCGATGAACTTTCTATGCTAAATATACAATAATAATAACTTTTAATATAAAATATGATCGTCCGAAGCGATTACATAGATACAAGGCAGGCATGACATTATTGGGCTCAGACTTTCCCATCTCACTTCAGTATTATTATTATTTTAAATTTGACAACGATCGTACAACGAACTAGAGCTATCGCTGCCGAGAAAGGTTTCTGGCAACACCAAGGCACATTTGACAATCTAGGATAACTCATAAACCTTTGATTACTAGGGCACACTAAGTACACTTGTAGCAAATAATGTCGTGCAACATCGGGCAACATCTCGCGACACGTATGACAACGTCAAGGCGTATGAAAATGGTCGCCAGACAAGATGTTTGTCGCACAATGCGCCTGAGTTTGCACGATACTACGAGCCACAAGTCACGTTACATTTGTCTCTTAGTGAATTCAAGGCTCAACTCCGATGTTAGCATAATTCCGCCTCTATCAACTTCAAACAACTGACAGCTATGGAATCATGATCTAAATTTTGAGTAAGATTAATCCTAGATTGTGCAAGTGTGTCTTTATTAGGCTGCGTCTCTACTGGGAGGGACTTGGAACGGAGCGGTATATCCATACATTTCTTTTTCAAATGTATGAAAAGCCCGTTCTATTCCACCCAACTGCGCCACAGTGTAAACGCAGCTTTAGATTGTTGCTTCAAACCCTTCTGCGGTCACAACTTCTCAAAAACCAGGAAGTGAGCTAAGAGAGTTCACATTATTAATAATATTTAACAATTTTCATTAATTTATTTTAAATGCTGCTGTCGTTTTAGTGAAAAAGTGTCCATATTATTATCATGACGATATAAATATTATATAATGACGATACAGGCCAAGAGCTTCCTCGTTGTGGATAAAAAACAAAAAAAAAAAAAAAATGTAGAACAAGAACAAAAATCCTAAGTGATTTCGAATTTAGTGACGTGTGTCGAATGATAAAAACGTATAAGAATAATTGAAATGCCACTTATCTGTATTAGTTAAGGTAACGGTTACATCGATTCTTTATTACTTTAAGGCAGTGAAACACCCAACTTAAATTCAAGGACAGTTGGGGACGAGATTACCTAGCTAACATTAAGATAACTAGTAACATATCACTAGACATTTTCACAGGCGACCTCTACACAACGGTCGCGTAATATTTTACAATATTTACACGTCTTATACACGTATGTTAGTGAAACACCGTATCTTTCGCGGGGACACGAACTACAGCGGGACGCACTCAGTAAGTCTATTCCAGTCATCGAAAGTCCATCGGCTTATTGTATCATCCTAACACCCCAATTACAAATGACAGAACGAAACATTACAATTTAACAATAATAGTATATAAATATTCTCCATGAATCAATATCGATAAATAATAAACCTACAATAGAAGAAATCTAACACTCTGAGATCGAGGGCAACAAGTTACATTTTGGGACCTGCATTCCTTCGCGAACACTTGAAAACAATATAATTTGAAATTACAACTAGATTAGCATTGTATGTAATTAACTTTAATAATATCAGTTGTTCGAAACTATCACTTCACAAACATACAATAAACGGATTTTATATTTTTTACAATGAACATAAGGTGTATTTTGTAACGCGGACAGTTCTGCACAAAAATGCCTTCGTCCCTCGCAGCGTAGATAATTTGTACTAGTAACTATAACAGAGGTAAAATATAAAAGCTATACAACCAGCTCCCGCCCTTCGCAACGAGCAACAACAATCAAAATATGACAAGAGTTAATATCCAATTTGACTAAAGGTTCTACTATTTTTCCGCGCTTCTAGGAATCACAATTAGTCGCCAGACTTTGTGTTTGTATGTACTATTAATTTACGTATATACTTTTATAATACCCGATTTACTTCAGTATCAAAATGTTCACTAGCGAAAAACGAGAACAACTTAAATTAAAATTATTTTACTGACATTTTACATAGAGCGCGAACAAAGTCGTAAACAATCGTTTCCCAAAAGCACGGAGTCTCTTAGAAAAATGAACAGCTTCCCTAGGCAATCACACAGTTCTAATAATAATATTCTCATATTTCCACATGTTATCACAGAAAATCATGTATTTACAATTTTGTCGTACTAAAGTGTCGTACGTAACCTACCACATGCCTTGCAACAAATGTTGATGGTGTTGAACGATTTCGCCTTAAACGACAACTGTTATACTTAATATTTAATACGAGCTATCATATTATTAATGAATTAGTTTTCTCTTTTATAAAATATAGATTATATTTATATTTTGACTCTTAGTGAATTGAAAGAAAGTATTCTAAAAAGTTCCAATCGATTATATCGTCACCGTCGTGGCAGAATTAAATAACTGACAAAACCAAAGTTGCGAGATATTCACGTTTTTGTGATTTTTTTCGTTAAAAATGGCGATAACTTTTAAGGGTAAAAATATTTTACTGTCGGTCTTTTGATATTTTATACAGCAAATTTACCTTTATTAAATCAATATTCTTCAATGATGNGACGATATTTATAACTGTTATAATAATTCACTAGCATCAAGGTACTATTTATATTGTTGCGTTTATAGATATTTTGATAATATTTAATAATAATGGCGAATTAGAAAAGTTGTATTTACAGTACAACAGTCGCGTCGAAGGCGATAGCTAACAGGTGACTAAAATGACGATGGCGTAACATACCGAGTTCAATGGGAGTAGGACGATTGTTAACGGATTCTTAATCGAGAAGTCAACGTCAGATTCGGTCGGCCGCCTTTTTATTTTTAAGAATAATTCAAATATTACAATTTCAACAATGGCTTATTCGAAACAATTTTTAAAACATCAATATAATAAGTCGCAAACCGATTCTGCTTTTGACTGTACATAAAATCCTTAGATTTTGTGCCTGGTGATTGCTTTGTTTTTTCTATGTTAAACGCCTCATCGACATACTATGAAAATAATTATATTTTATTGCATTAGAAATTTTATATTTCGTTGTAAGGTATTTTAGTAACAATTGCTAGAATTCATAATTTTATGTTACACACGTAAATATTTTCTCTTGTGTTTTCACAACTTCTAAACAGTAATAATTTTTTTGTTATAGATAAACAAACATACTTATGTCGATGAGAACACGCCATATTGCAGCGAGACATCGGTCTAAGAGTATCTGTGTCATTTATTTATGGGTTTTACTAAACAAACAACTAAATTGGGATTTAATTGGTTGTTGCTGACCTTTTGGCTTAGTACTATTCAAAGTAACCTCTACAAACCGATCTATAATAAGATTTTATCGAGCAATAACCCAGATACTTTTACAAGGACGTCGATTCTTACATCTAATGCATCTTGTTAGTCGGTAATACTAAACGAATAATCGTACACACATTATGCAGTAAACCAGGCGGCAAAATCTCTATAAACAATATCAGTACACGATTTAACAATTTAGGTAATCCTTTAATGCTGAAATATATCTTCAAAGTTACATACAATTCATATTTATTTAGTTTTAATCGTATTTAAATAACGTAGGTATAAAGCACTTGGGGGAAGGACAGCAAATTCAATAAAAAATGTTTAATTATTTATTTAGTATATTAACTAAGTAAAAATTATTCGCTATGTAAATATTTTATACAATACTAGTATTAATTTGTTCGACGATGAATCGCTAGTGTTCCTCCAACGTCTAACGGGCGTGAAACGGTGTCGGGCCGGCCCCGCCCTCGGCGCCGCGTGCGCGGTGCAAATTTATATAGAAACGATTACTTTACGATACGGACTAATAATTTCATGTAAAAATCCTAGCGCAAACGAGTCGTCCGGCACCGTCTTACGCCACCTTAACCTTAGTAAATCAAGGAGTAAAATTTTAGCGAATTAAAAATTAAATTTTCCAAAACTTTGTAAACACTAGAATTTGGATATAGCTCGCGGAGGCCCGTCGAGGGTTGTCGGGCGGGGCGGCCCGCTCCGGGAGGGACGTCCAAACGGCTGAGCAACGAGAGTCGTTTTACACGGTTGGTATAAAAAGTAGTGATGGTCAACTCAAGTAAGTAACTCGAGTTAACTCGAGTTGGGCGTAACTCGAACCCACTCGAGTTGAATTCTCTCAGACTCGAGTTCGTATCATAAACCGAATGGATCCGACATGGAACGAAGATTGCCGATCATTTGAGTGTTGAGATTGAGACTATGACGTTCATTTGAAGTTAACTTTAAACTGCCGGTTATTGTTGTAGATTCTCGTGTTTTATGTTCTGTTTTTTAAAAATGCCAAGTGATAATAAATATAAATATTTTTTAAAATTAAAATTCAAGCCAAAAATCCATGAATAAATTATTATATTTCAAACAATAATTTTTTCTTTCTTAATTTAGTTAGTATGATTCTCCCAATACATTATAAATGATATGTTTTTAAATGTTTATACGGATCTGAGGGAATGAACTGGTAAAAATAAGAAAAAAAAACTGACTTGTCCATCCAGTTAACTCGAGTTACGTGGATTTTAACTCGGGTTAAATCGAGTTTTGTTTTTCCCGAGTTGGGCCATCACTAATAAAAAGTGCGCGTGCGGGGGGTCAGAGGGAGTGCGCGGGCGCGGGGTGCGGGCCGGCGCGCGCGCGCACGTCCCGCTGGGAGCGCGCGCGGCCGCGCCGCTAGCACCAGTCGTCCTCGTCGGAGTCGGAGTGGCGCGCGCGCGGCTTGTACCCGTTGGGCAGCCGCGGCGCGCCGCCGGCGGGCGACGGGAGCGCGCGCGAGCCGCCACCGCGGCCCAGCGCCAGCGCCGCCTCGTAACTCAGCGGCGCCTCGTAAGCGCGCGCACCGCCCCCGCCCCCGCCGCCCCCGCGCTCCAGGTCGTAGCCTCGTCCGCGTCTGCGAAACCCAAATTAGTGGTGTATGATTAGTCCGCGTCAACAGAATTCGAAAAAAAACTCTTGCAAAGACAAAGACGTGACGTCATAACTAGGCGGTAGTTTATAGGAAGGAATCCAAGAATGTGATCATCCGAACACATTCCTTTCGTACAAAGTACTAAAACGTGACGTCATAACTAGGCGGTAGTTTATAGGAAGGAATCCAAGAATGTGATCATCCGAACACATTCCTTTCGTACAAACAAAGTACTAAAACGTGACGTCATAACTAGGCGGTAGTTTATAGGAAGGAATCCAAGAATGTGATCATCCGAACACATTCCTTTCGTACAAAGTACTAAAACGTGACGTCATAACTAGGAGTTAGTATACGAGAATATCTAAAGATATGATTTGCGTTTGATGCAAACTAAATCGACGTGACGTAAAAATTTGTGGGTCGTGAACTAGAGCGTTTTGAGAATGCCCTGAAAGGGTAGAGTCAACGAAGTACCTGATTCTTTCACCAATATTTACTATCGTGTGTTCATTTACCAAACCAAAATATGTCTTCCTATTATGCATGTTATCGACATAAACGTATCTTTCTGAAACAGCTAGGTATCTAGAAATCGCTGGAAACTTGTTTATTCAGTCTGATGGATTTTTTATCGTATCTTTTTCACAAGATTTCCAAAGTCTTGACGCGGTCGATAGTAGAGCCACGAGTGATACCTAATTGACACTTACTTGCATAAACACTACTGTAGGCAAACAGAGCTGAAAGTTTTGTATTAATTAACTTAATAACTAAAAAAGTTAAATATCTTACACAAAGGGGAAATAAAGCCATTATTTTAATTTTCATCACAATTACTTAGTCTTCAGCAAGAAAGTTTACTCTTATTGCTTTTTCCTCTGAGATTTTATAGTGCCTTTGATATATTAACCTCTCTAGTCATTCATTTGTCCAACTAAAAAAGAGCTTTGTTTTTTTCAATCAAGTAGTATAAATCTCTAGTAATCAAATCAAATAAATTATCAACTTACCTCTCTCTAGATCTATAATCTCGGTGTATCAGTCTTTCAACTTCTCGGCCATACTCATACTCATCATGTACAGGCTCTACGGGTTCTCTCACCGTATGCCTCAATGATAACTGAAATAGAACAAAAATAAATGAGTTTTCAGAAGTATAGAATTTGACCAAGCCCAAATGCCGAAGTCCGACCGTGAGCCAAGCGTCAGTATAGGAATAGTGCTACCTTAATGGGGATAGAATTTGTTTATTCTCAATCTTGGAATCAAATGTTTTCAATGTTTGGAACAGAACAAGTTAATTTTCCCTTAGTCAGTAACAGATATTTTGTACCCGTTCCACGAGATTTCGGGAACAGCTAGTTACAGGTGAAAACAATCTTAAACCACTGAAAGTGAAGGCTGTCTAACAACTGCCAATGTGGTATCACGTAATTAAATGACCTCTTGTAGCTTTGCATGGAATAACCTTGAAAATAAATTATTCCATTTTGTAAGGAAGGCGTCGTAGTTGACTACGAGCTACGATGCTACAGAAGATGTGTCGCATCGTAGCTCGTAGTCAACTAAGACGCAACGCAATCAAGTTGCGGCTACGTGCTACGTTTTTTCTGCGTAGTTGCTACGATCAAAGTATTTTTTTGCGAAATGTCTCTTCGGTTTAGGTTCCGAATTGAGAGAACTGGGCGTAATCGCGTCATTTTCATTTAACGGTTGTTGTAATTAAATGTGGGTTTACGCTATACTCACGTGTGATGGGCTGTGGCTGATTCTTGTGAACGGCGGCTGCGGCTTGACCTGTAGCGTGGACGGTTTAGTGGGCGTGGGAGGCAGCTGCCGGCCGCGGCCGCGGCGCGTGCCCTCTCGCTCGTACGAGCGGTCGCGCCATTCCCGCCATTCCCTTTCCCGCTCCCGTTCCCGGTCGCCACCTATCGGTGCCCAAACTGATCTTTGAATCATTTGCTAGTTCCATTCGCGGAAATTAGCTCTCAAACGCGAGAGAACTATTCTGGAAAAGCTTTGAAAAGGGTTTCAAGACGATCGTCATAAGAACCTTTCAAAAAGCTTTCCCAAACAAGTGTCTATTGATTCCGCGATTTTGATTGTCGTTTGGTTACCGATTTACTTGAAAATAAGAAACATCGAATGATCAAAAGTAAAACAATAAAATCAACAGGGTTGTGATGGAACTATACAAATTAATGTAAGTTGAACAGATGTGCAAACAATTTTCTCATTGTTGACTCACCGCGCTCATTCTCTTACAATCTTCGCGTACATTGAACATCTAACATAGCCATGGGCAGCAAAGGGTCTCAAGATTTTGTTCATAAACAAGAAATATAATTTTGTTAGTCAAGAGATTTCAGACCCTTTGCTTTACAATTGTAACTTAATTTGAAAATTTAAACGTATTCACATTGTATGCCCTAAGCTGAATCGTGTGGTAATGACCGCCTATATTCAAATGTATTATTGAACTTTAAATGTTTGAAAGTGGATGTTTGAATGCTTATGAGTAATGTTAGGGAAGAGTAAGAACTGAAAGTCATTCTCATGTTTGTAATTTAAAGTACGTGTTCAGAACTGTCCAGGTGACGTTCAGTGCCTTCTCTTATACTTAGGAACTGTTATCCGCGGCTTATTTAGAACTGTGAGTGGCCCGTAGTGTAGTGGCGAGGGGATCTCACCGTAGGTGTGGTGTGGCGGGCTGGGCGATCGCGAGGGCTGGCTCAGGCTGGTTGTGGGGTGCGGCGCCCTCCACTCCTTCCCTGCTGTCAGGAATACCTTCATGTACCTTCCACCACGCTAAACCCTAAGCCCGTCGTACTACCGACCTTATTTCCTACCCACAAAGGTGACTCTAAAAGTTTTGGGTGTCTGTTAACGTGGTTAAGTACGGGTTGTATGGACACGGAATGGGGCAAACGGGACTGGGTATCGAACTCGGTTTGGAAAGTGTGTCCAGTGACTACATTGTATGAACATAATTTAGCTAACCCAATAGAACATTTTGATACAGTAATAAGTCTAATTGTTCGATTACAATATTATGTCGATTTTATATGGCTACCGCTGTCTACTGCAGAAAATATAGAAATTAAAATATAGTCAAATCATCAAGCTTTTGCATGCTGCATGATATTTTAAGTGAGATTGTTTAAGTGCATGCGCGGCACCCCTGTTTCTGAGGAGCCCATGAATAAAGCGATTAAATATGTGCAAATAAGAGCAAAACCGTTTTCAAATGGGCATCATATTTTAGCATGCAGCAGGCAAATTCATTTATCTCGTTGTAAAACGTGAATTTCATTAATTACACATTGTAGAGGCCAATTAATTCCAATTTCATTTCAATAGCATTTGCAATTTGGTATCAAATGCCAATATGTTATTCGCTTATATCTAAAATGTGTGGCCTGATGGTATAATTATTATGACATTACTAACAATTTCAAACATGAGCATTATTACGTATGTATGATGAGCAGTTTAAATCATAGCTAAGTAGCTACTAGGTATAATGTTACAAAACTAGCTTTGTGAAAATGTTTAGTATGGCTAGGATTTACAATCTATTTATCTAAATCACGAGCCTCAGTTATTATTATAGCTTAACTGATTGGCTTTCGCTGTATCTTAAAACTACATCTACGAAACATGAGTATCTACAACTACTTGTAAGCTAGACTTCCCATCTTCTCACAAAACTTTCAGAGTACCTTCATGAGAAGAAAAATGTTTGCAAAACTGTTTAGAATTCTCTGAATTCAAGCTAAATAAAACAGTAGGTATGTTGACGGTTGATGTTACGGTAAGAATATAACTACAGGACTAAAATAATATAATAATGGTTAGAGGCAAATAGCTCATAAGGAAGCTTAACAAATTCGAACGTGATATCATTTAATGGTTTAAGAACACGGTCAAACACGGTTATGTTCGAGTTTGCATTAGCATTAAGCCAGTGAATGGTAAATCTGCATTCTTTTCATACAAATGAATGCTAGATGATGCCATTATTATCGAATTCGCTATTTACATAGATGATCTAGGTATGGGTCTAGGGTTTTGTCAGATTTACATTTCACTTTAGACTTACTTGCTTCTGTTCAAAATGTTATATAATTGTTCGTAGTATTTGGTATAGCTAAGTAATGGGATAAAAGGTGCACCTACCATGTGGGTGATAGTGGTGTGGCGCACGGTGCGTTCGCCCGTGCCTTTGATGTTCATGCTTAACTATCTCGACGACGTTGCTGACGGTGTCGGAGAAACCGATATCGTGATGGTAACCTCCGTAGTGCCCTCGTCGTCTCGGACTTGGCGTTCGTCTGAACAATAAAGCATACACTTTAACACGTTTAAATATTTCCCTAAACAATACCACCGTCACCATGCATGTTAGGGTACATGCAACATTAGACAACACATTTATAGGTAGGTAGAAACTGGAAAGATAGGGTCCAAGTCAGCTGTTAACTGTTGATTAGAAAAATGGTTAGTACAAGGTAGGGTTACGGTTGTAATAACGCGTGCATGGTGAACATACCATTTTTCACTACCAATACTTTGAGATCAATCTCTTCTTCGATGACACTACAAAACAAAATAAAAAGGAAATAACAAAACCAAATGATAATGCGAACAAAGGTAAAATAACGTGATTTATTGTTACCTTAAACTAGAAGATCTTCCATGGTGACCATTTTGGTATGTATGAGCTGCTTGTAACCGCCCATCGTCCAAGGACTCCATAGACGCATGTTGCGATCCTTGCAGCTCCAATACCTACAAGTATATCGTGTTAATATTCCCATCATTGGCCTTGCTTTGGACTTTTCATTTACAGAATTGATAAACAATGTTTATTACTGTCCCATATTTACAAAATTTTGAGGACATAACACATGCACACAAGTGAATGCTACTTTAAATTGCAATTCATGCAACAAATCGTGCCAGTGCCATATAGTAACATTTAAGGGTGTTTTACTTACCCAAACGTCATTGCTATCTACATCGCAGATATTATAATAACATGCTTTATTTGATTTACCTCGGCATGCAAGTTTTATGTTGTTGTATAAATATTGTTTTGGTGTCATGTTAGATATTATGACTGGAGGTATGTTGGTATGTCAATGTATTGATTGTGATGGTGCTATGTCTAAGTATTTAAGAAAGAAGAATGTTAGGAAACCACCCATATAACATTAATCCGAATAACATTCACTAATCATATCTCGAGATATCAATTAGTACACAAAAATCTAACATTTTGTTCTACGAGTTAAAAATCAAACCTAATTTACTGAAATCGTTTACCTAAACATCAACAACCATCTGTAAACTTCAAAATATTTACCATTAATATGTTACAGCACAATCAAATTAAACACTAAAGAGCCTAAGGCCCTAAAATACGTTAAACCACATTAGTTACCTATTAATATCATTTAGAATCTAATGTTAACAACGAATAATATCAATAGCCTATGTTGTGTTATTCTCAAAACACTCAAACAAAGCTCTGAACATAAAATGTACAACATCGACTATATCTATGACAGATGTAAATGCATCGATGTGGCTTTTCTAAAGGAACACCCATTTAGCCATACATTAACAACATTTGGACCCTCAACATCACGTATTTGTATCGTAAAGTGTTTTCCAATTGCATTCTATTCATCTTAAAATGGAATCTACAGAATTTTGCTTGGTTGTCTAGTGATATTGGTGGTAACATCGATTGCACTTGACAATAGCTAGTATCGGAGCGTCTGACTGACAAGGGAGTACGACATTTAGGATCGACTCAACTTCACCCTATCAAAAGGTATTCACCTTTTTGTTATTCCTGTAACAAAAGAAAATCATTGTTAGTCATTGATCAGAGTATTGTAAGTTTTCTTGCTGGTCTCGGCTACATTGTCATTTAAATGACATCAATTTCTCAAGATTACGGTTTTATACTGGATCATCTCGCTTAACATTTTATATTTAAATTGAAAATGTTTTCCTCTTCAGTCACAGAATAACAACTAGTTCTAAGTTAAATTATAATCATGTGATTATCCTTTTAACCTTGTTAAAACAAGTCTTTTTCTAGTTGTATGCTTGCGTTATTGCAGCTAATATCACTTTTCATTTTTATGGAACTAATAATAGCGAAGTATTTGTACTCACTTGAGTGATTTTCTGGTGTTTCTGCGGGCGAGGTTCGCTAGCGTGTGTGGGTCTTCTGGGTGTCCTTCAGTAGCGCCGATGGGAGGACCCTCATGGCTGAGGGAGCCGGCGCGCGACCCGGGCCCCAGTCCCGCCGCCACGTCCATTAGGCAGTTAAACAACGACGCCTTCTGCACCACGCACGAGGTCACCCACCCATACTCGCGATGCGCACGCTCATGTCACACACAGGCCCGTAAGGACCAACTAACGGCTAAAGCCTACATGAGTTTGCGCAAACATCCCACACATCATGTCCATGCTGGAGTTCTCTGTGTTTGTGTGTGTTTGTAAAGTGTCAGAAATCCAACCGATGGACACAATAAAAGCAAGGATGTATCAGTGTTGTTATAGTGAATATGAATGCGGCTATCTGAGAAAATAATACTGTCACAAATTAGTTGTAGCATGTCAGTGGAGGATATGTTCACGTCGTACATGTTGGTAGAACCTTATGTATTCAGATATGTATAAGAGCTGTAAATTACAAAGCATTTTTATAAAGTTTAAAAACAAGTGCTATTTAATAAAATTCATGTGCAAGACTGAAGCCAGAGGCAAGTCATCTCGTTAGCGTCATCACCGTAGTGCGTTCACTTCCAAAGGCACAGGATTATAATATGTTCTCCAGCATGCGCAGATTTGCGAATAAAAATTTCATTTTGTAAATTGTTATGCTATATTACAATAATAATTACAAGAAAGGCAAATAAGAGCGTAGCAAGAAAGCATTCTGATATTATTTTATTATCTGGCCACTAAAATGGTATTTTTATTGAGCCAAAATGTACCTAATCAAAACCAAATATGAAAGACACAATAAGTTAAGCCAAAGAACAAACAAAATCACTGTTATTTCGTAGAAGAAAACCATGTCAGAAAAACTCATGCACAATCCTAAAACAGTATGAATATGGTAAAATATCGTAAAAGAAAATTAGATGCATAGTGTTGCTAGGGTATCGCTAAAGACAGCGAGCGAGTAATGTAAGATCGGACGACACAATTGGGAAGACAAACAAATCTACGATAAGGACAAACTTCTAACACTACAGACAAATTATCAACTTCTCAATACAGACACACTTGTCTAAGTACTATTTTGCAACTATAGGACAGGTCACTATATTGTGGTTTACGAAGCCCTGACGGTCACTTGATTGACAAAAGTGTGCAAGACGCGCACAAGTTTGCCTAAGCTAATAAAACATCAAGTGCGTCATTATCAACTAAAACTAATTCTCTGTTTATATCATCTAAACTACTTGGTTTAATTTGATCAATTTAAGAAAGTTTCTTTAATTGACCATCATGTCATTCTTTCGGTCATCGCGATTTATTTATCATTCTTTATTTAATATTAAGTTTATTCAAACACGATGCGAGAAGAATTTTATGATAAAACAAAAAATATCTAGAACAGTGCAAGTAAAAAGTAGTCAAAGTTCGATCCGTAAAATATTATAATACTACCGGCTGAATGGCCGTAGGGCTATTCTCGTTGAATGCCTGAAAAGTAAACCACCAATGTAGACGACTCGTTAAGAGTCGAATTGACTAAAGTGACTCTGTATTGTTGTTATTGGTAATCCATATCACTGAGCCAATCTGTCTCTTTGACGACAACGTTTAAAAACGTGAGAATTTAGAATGTTAGATAGATCGTCAATGAACACAACAATACATCCACAGATAGACAACACAACCAACTCTATTTACTAACTATGATGTTTCAAATTGTAATCTAGTGTGGGGGTAAATTATAAGGGGCCATCAACAAACACTACTTTAAACGTGTAGTTATTACCTACCCACATAATAAGTAGTTACATTTGGCTCAAAATTACAGGTATTTTACGTACGAGTATATACATTAGGCAAAAGCCACACGGATTTACTCTGGCTTCATTGATATACTACATAGGTTTTCATAAGAAATTTTGCTTGTAACTTAAAATGTACAGTCAGTGCAGGGGATAGAAGGTAATCACTTACCGGAACGCCCTGTGGTGCGGTTTGGCCAAACCTAGTAGATCTCCAGCTCTCTAAAATGAGCAATCCCGCGTAGATCTTTCCTACGGTCAATTTCCCTGCATTGAGTACGTCGTTTCGAGGCACCAACAAGTCTAACATCTTCTTTGCTTGGAGTGGCCATATTTGTGTTATCGTTTCTCTTAGTTCTGCATCTGCTTGGTCCATTTCTTCGGCTGAAATGCAATGTTAAACAATATAGTTACTCTCATTTGTCATTTGTTATACTTTTTTAATTATATTTTAATTAATCTTACCTGATCTCATCTTGATGTTCAGGTTTTCCCGAATTAAGGCAAATAGTGTTGTTGTAAAATTAACTTTCCCCTCTTCATCTAGCGGCATATTCATTCTAATTAATTTCTTATACGCTAGTCTATTTGGACACTTATTACCAAACCCCAGAGGTGGATCCATATTTTTCAACATATCGTACATTTCTGTATAATGAATCTTCCCCCTGAAATCAAATAAATTATGCTTTAAGTATCCATGTAAAACTTTGTAAGTGTCTAGATGAAATTGTTTTAGATAAATAAAACATTATAATGTAGATGCAGCAACGATGAAACAACTTATAATATTTGCAATCATTACTTACGTGGCGTTTGGGTCATATTCTGCCCATATTCTAACAAATTCATCAAGATGATGCGCGCCGAGAATGGACGAGTCTCTTGTTAGATAGTCGAAGTTATCCATAATGACGGCAACAAACAAGTTCAACATCTGGAAGTAATAGAAATTGTTGAAATTAAAATATTAAATGGATATTGGAAATAAGAGCAAACCCCAGTTTTGGGCACAAGATAACCAGATAACCGATGAATCACACAATCATGTTGTAAAAATGGCAATAATTTTTATTAGAGTTTAATGAAGATATACTTTTGTAAGATAAAATAACAAGGTAATAGAACAATAAAGATTTCATAAAGCATACGGATTCAAATACTCACAAGAAAGGAACAGAAGAAGATGAAGGAAACGAAGTAGGCGTAGGCGAGCGTGCTCCCGCAGACCTCGTTGGACTTGGAGCCCTGCGGGTCCGGGGTCTTGGCGCACTTGGTGGGCTTCAGGCATGCCAGCATGATGTTGGGCCACGACTCGCCCGTCGCGCATCTAAACATAAAGTGGCTCACAGCGAATGGCTTCACATTCATAAAAATCAAAATTTCAAAATTAGCGCATGCACGAAGTTTGGAATTATTTGTTTTTTTTTTATCATCGTAGATATTGATGCGATTTTCATCATCTTTGATAAGTTTACCTTCAATTTCAATAACATTTCTACGTGACAGAACCAAACCGTGATTTGCATGCTGTGATAGCATTCTAAATCATAAAGCATTATTCAGCATAATCATTTTATTACTCAAAGATTCTTCATCAGATACTTCACTAATGTGGTGGGCAAAATAAATTACTACATTAGGATTAAAATTCGTTGAACAAAAAGTTTAAAATATGCTTACCTGAACAGTAGCATGAGTGCTTGAATGAAGCTTTGAAAATTGTTGTGTCTGTTCAAATCTGACTCGGATGATAACTCTATATTGCCAAACACCTGTGTTCAAGCAGATACAACACAGAAAGTCAGCATTGTGTGCAGGTCATACGTGTCACCTAAACATCCTAAGCTCATCGCCCCAATGCATTTTACACACTATTCTACCTCAATTATGTGACTAAACAACTAGGGTTAAGAAGCAAATTTTCGACTCATTATAAAATACAAACTTATACGACTTTTCAAGGGATAACCAATAAATCAACGATTACTTCTAAGGTTCGACTAAGGCTACTTTGTAATCTTGTGATGATACTGTTACTTTTGGTGATATTGTTTTTATGCTTGATGATAAAAGTGTAGGTACACATGTAGAATTTATATTTGATATAGATTTTCGGCTGTGACCGCATGATTCAAGTACCAAGATGCAATATCTGACCAGGTTGTGCCATGCGTTCTATTCTCTCGCGTTTGCGCCCTATGCTTGTGGCTACGCCGCCGCAGCGGACTTGTGAGTCAGGGTCGGTATTACTACGCGTACTTCTCACCGAAATAGTAGTAAGATAGCCCCCACGAAAGATCGGAAGTTGTTATGCCTGTTCACGGCACTGTCTGGATCGTATTGGATGTTTCCAAATACCTGCCATTAGAAACATATCAGTGCCTGTACCATTTGATTATTATTAATCACTGACATCTCTTTTCCATCACCCATTTGCCCGAGAAACAGACAAAAGTTTTGATGAATTTGATATAGATGTGTTGATGATATTTAATTTGATGTTTGTGTGATTATCAGATGTGGCAAAGTAGGCAGGACATAATTATAAGACATTCGCAAGATAGAGTCAATACTAAAATCAGGAATCTAGAGAAGGAATAAGTTGAGGTTAACATAAACCTATATTTTACATCGGAGACTATTAACTTTCTGCTAAGATTCTATCTGAGATGTAGTGAGAATTACGTACTACTTAGTCTAAAACATCCCCCAAATTTCGAGAGCCCATTATTGAACTAAGATCTAAAATTATTGCAAATTAAAGTGTCGTGACGGGAGAAAACAAAACAGACCTGCATCCCGATGATGGCATAGATGAAGAATAGCATCGCGATGAGAAGGCACACGTAGGGTAAGGCTTTAAAACTCTGCACGAATGTCCAGAGCAGTATCCGAATGGTGTACCCCTGTCTAAGCAGCTTGATCAGTCGCGCGGCTCGGAACAGGCGGAGGAAACCGACGTTGAACGTGTTTTCCTAAAAATGGTAAGGATTTTATTAGTCAAATCTATGGTAATGTGGATCTTTATGAGAAACTTTTCAGTGAAGTCTTATTAATTTAGCTTGTGCCGTCGCGAGTGGACTAACTGGATCTCATTTACTTCTTATTACTCGTGGTCTTAAGTCCGTATAAAATGCTCAATCATAGTCATAGATTCTGTGCTGCGATTGGTTGAAATAATGATATTCACAAATCAAACCCTCGATTTATTCTTAAACTGAATCGAATTTTAATCTTCGTTCTGTAATATTATTATGCTTCTTACTTTTTATTTTGATTGCTTTCCTAGACTACAAATTCCTACAGAACTTGCAGTTTTCCTTCGACAACGGCACAAGCTAATAATTTAATCAAATCAAAATTCAAATCACAATAAAATCCTGTAGATTTCTACAAAAACTCTTGCAAAGCCACACATTTGGTAAAACAGATACAATACTTAATACTTTTTAGCACCATTACATAAAGCTTTGTAGACTTATCTAGACAAACTTTAGTATAGCTAAAATACGTCTTTAGGTATATTCTAATGAAATATAATAGTAATAAAATTACCTAGGTAAGATTATAAAATTGAAACCAATAATTTAAATATTATAGAAAAGAAACAATATGAAGTATGAGTAAGTACGAAATGAAAAAGTTAAAGAATAATTTGGTCTGTTCTACTGTATTGTAAATCTATCTAGAATTTGAGACCACACTTTAATTAACGAATTTTAATAACACTTAACCTAAATCGCTAGCAACAAGTACCGAATTTCTGGACATATTAACAACGACATTAAAAACTTTGTCATAATATCTAAACAACCCCAAAACAAATAGGGAATTCCCTAGCAAACAATAAAATTTACACCACTACGAGAATCTAGAAAACCCTAATATCTAAAAAAATCTAAAACTACATTAGTTATTATTTCAAATATGTACACATTGTCTAAATTCAATTATCGTCCAGTTACAAGTCTAATTTTCCTAGCAATCAAATATTGAATTCGTTACCTGCTGACAGGATATGTCAGCACAGTTTTCAGCAAGGTCAGTCTGCAATCAGGATATACCCATGTTCATAATGTCAAAGAAAACGCCAGCGGGGAAACAGTCATAGAAGTAACATGGGTGAAAAATAAATAAAAATAATTGTCACCTCACCAGGAGCACACGCAAACACGCATCTTACAAACACAATAGAAAAAACAACTAGAAAAGTTTAGATAAACACTTACTCGTATAAGTCGCTAATTAAGAATAGCATTATTTTCAGGCACGTAACTGTCCAGTGAAGTTTAATTGTGATTAACTATTTCATTTGCTTATTCGACAAATACCGCAACAATTATTGAATGAAGTGTTCTTTACTACATATATTATTATAGTTGCCTATAGTGACTTTTCAACTATTTATCATTTTTGTTCAACACGAAAGTGCTGAATCCATATTTCCTTATTTAGTCAATATTTAGATGGCAACGAGTCATTTGCAATATACACATAATTGTAAATACAAATAATCACGAATGCTTTTGGTGAGGTTGCAACATTAGAGGAACAGGAAGTAAATGTAAAAATATGACGAATACTCACGCCAAACTCCATAATGAGGGCGTCAATTATACTTCCAATGACCGTTATGAAATCAAATGTATTCCACGGATCTTTGAAAAAATTCTGGAATAAAAATATGAATTAGTTGTCGAATATGTACAATGTCTAATATATCAAATTTCATTATTGCAAATCAAAAAATTGTATACAAATGTACACTTTCTATTTTAAACTCTTTAATTTATGAGGAATCATTGAATCAGGATAGGAATCAGGATATTTCTCTCAAAAATTCAAATCTATTCAAATATCAAAAAATATCTGGCTTATGAATCTATAAACTTTAATGCTATAAAAACTATTCACCTATTTCATATTCAAAACAAAGCGTTATTTCATAAACTTCCTATGAAATGATTTCTAGCGTTTAATATATTCAAGTCCATATTGAATATTATAAGCTAATAAATCTAAGTTAAAATTGGTAAAAAATGAAAGTGTATCGTATGTACTGAAAGCAAACATAACAATCCCTCAAAATAAAATATTACTAATAATTGTGAACGTGTAATTATCAAAAATAAGCGAAAATGGAAAATTCTGTCTTAGATAATTTTAAATTACTTTGAGCGGATGAAAGTTTGCATTGACGGCACATACAAAAAATGAATGAAGGCAGTGCGAGTTCATCATAGTGACGAACCGCATTTACTAAAATAACTCAAATTAAAATTTATTTATCGATATTCAAAATATTTAACGTGTTCATCCTTACCGTACATCCGAAGGCAATCAGCTTCAAAACGGTCTCGAGAAAGAAGAAGAACGTAAAGACGAGGTTCATGAATATTAACGGGTCCATGAGTTCTGGTGGAGCCTCGTGGAACTACCACAAAACCAATACCAATTTGTTTAGCCTTAATGTTAAATATTACAAATTTTATGAAAACTAAATGCCAGATGTCAATCTTTAATGTGAACTAAAGAATGCTATTGTCATAAAGTTCTACTTGTACTTGCAAAAAAACTACTCTAGCATTTAGCTTTGTTTAATCTAAAAAATCAAATCCTATCAATTTCTAATATGTATACAGACAACTTATTTATTTATATCATTTATCATGTAACGATGAGTGTAGCGGCCTGTGTGTGTGTCTTGTTCATTGTCTCCGTTATGAGCCCAGATAACATTTGTGTGATCATGTATATTCGTTCAGTGGCAACAAGTGCACGTGCTGCATGCATCAGATTCACAATCATGCATTGGATCACGACAATTAGTTAATCATCCAATTTGTCAGGTTAAGAAAGAAGTTCACTTACCTTATTGCTTAGATAGCCTGCAGCATAAGACAACTTACCTTGAATCTCCTCACAATATCACTTTGATAGCTGTCTTTAACATAGTGCAATGAAAAAGGAAGTAGATTATTCATCATAGGCGTGAAATATACAGGTGCTACATGCAGCGGGAGTAAAAAGCCATGCTTAACAATTATTCGCAAATAAATTCATATTATCAACAACAATATAAGAGAGAAATCAGTATCGGATACTTGGGAAGGGATGATATTTACTCGACTGGAAATATTCCCATACAGTCATGTAAATAGACAAAATAATCATGTTAGTAACAGAAAGAGTACATTTGTACCTAGATACACATTTGGTATTCGCTGTTGAACACTGTAGTGTCAGTCCAAACTGTGTTTGTGTACTTACTTTGACACCGTAAGCGATGATTTTCAACACCGTTTCCACAGAAAACATTCCAGTAAACCCCATATTCGAATACTTGAGGACATCCGCGTAGACGTCATTTTGATTATAGTACTGCCATTTTGAGATGATGTGCCAGGCGTATTGGATAAACCCATGGCAATGAAAATACATATTTGTTATTTCATACATAGGTATCGAAAATAAGAAAGTATTGTTGTGATGTAAAGAATGGATTTGTATAGAAATGATGTCGGTTCGTAGATCAGTTCAGTGCTAACATTCTGAATACAATTAGCTCTTACGATTTAAAGGAGTTATAGAAGAAAAGGATAGTGATATTGGACTCGGTAAGGGGATTAGTGCTAAACCGTACAGAAGGAAAAAACAAAAACAGACAGGGACACAGTGAAATGAAGATTTTTGCCAATATTTGAGAGCACAGTAATAATTTTCCCAGTACAAATAGATATAAGAAAGTATGGGCTATTGGTTAGGTACGACTTGAAGAATAACAAACTGGTACATTAGATACTTAAAGTTTTAGGTATCAAATTACTAGGCTTTACAATTTGGAATCCCAATAAAAACACAAAGCAGCTATTAGCCACCAATAGACACGCCTGGCAGTAGGCCATTCCACCAAGCATGCAGATTGTTCACATAAAGACGATTAAGATTAGATCTTAAATAAGGTCATGCAACACGAACAACATAGATGGCCCATGCTACAACAACCTAACTGGTCTCGGAGATGTAGTGCATTCTCAAGCACGAATAACCGAGTAAAATTTTGGTGTTTCTTGTGCCGTAAATGTGTAGGAAGGATAGGTATACCGTGCAGTAAACACTGATACACAATCACATGTAATGAATAACAGCAAGCAAGGACTCACGAAAGGATTACTCAACAAAACACAGGATTAAATAAATAGTTCGACGGTACACTTGACGGGATAGGCTCTGTTGTTGTACGCATTCCGATGTGATGTATGACGCCGAATGTTGTTTGTGTTAGTGTTTAATGTGTGTGTGTGTTGATGTTGCGTCATAGGCAGTACTAATGTTTGCCAATTTGTTGTTGTAAATGACCACATGATTAACATTAGTATAAGTCTGACTCTCATTTCAGTAACATAAATGTGTTTTAATTACTACTAGATTTAGGATAGGGCTAAGTGCTTACACATAAAATACACATACGACAGAATAACGTCCCTACATTGTACTTATATTGGCCAAGGTAGAGAGAGATTCAGTGGATTGGACCAAATATTTCGCACGTAGGTTTACACTCTCTAGTGAAGATCGGTGCAAGCTTTCGTGTCGGAGACCCTTCCACTAATCTAGGTCGTCTCTTCGTGCCCTGTGATTTAGGCTAGCTCTCTCAGCAACTACCTAAAATTCTACTTTCCACATTTATGGTGCTTCAATTGTTTTGTATGTATGTTCTCTGTTACTTTGAAAGGAGTGTCGTCAATTGTTTCACTGTTCTAACCTATCAAGATAAACTAGAAATCTTATAGTTAATATTATTCTAACACATAAACGATATTTAAATACATACCTTCATCATGAGCAACAATGTGTTGAGTACGATGAGAGTCATGATGAAGTACTCGAAAGGCGTAGAGACAACTATTCTCCACACTTTGTACTTAAAACTCGCTCTTTTGCTTGGCATATACCTCTCGAGAGGTCGGGCTTCTATCGTGAAGTCTATACATGATTTCTGTGGACAAACATTAATGGTTGGCTTCCAGTTCTTTAAACTGAAATCATTTTTTACACTTTATCATTAATATTCACCTGATTCTTATCAATTTCACCGTCTTGCAGTTCAGCTTCACCCTGCTCTTGAAATGTGATAATAATCAGAGCTACGAATATGTTAACAAAGAAGAATGGAAACACCACAAAGTAAACGATATAAAATATGGACATTTCTATTCGAAAATTTTGTATGGGTCCCCTGTCTTCGTACGTGGCGGCCATTGAGTTTTGTAACACTCTGGAAAGAGAAAAATAATCGAATTAAGTATAAACAAAGTGACAAATAAATGTTGATTGACATTTAGACATTACTAATTTCGCAGTCAGCAAAACAAAAAAGCATCTACATAATTAAACGAGCAGCCGGAGCTGCGATGAATTAAAAATACTGAACTCAAAATAATGACAAATTCTGGAATGTAAGAAAAAGTGACCACACATCGACATAAGAGCTGATTAGAAAAATTCAAAATTTGAAAAAGGAGTGATTCCGCGCAAATTTTCCCACATTAGCAACGCGGTGTTGTTAACCCATTGGCTACATTAATCTAGGGGTTTGATTCTTTAAACATTGTTTCTTTTTTTTTGGTAATGAGTAAGAGTCAAACTACTCACTGTGGCCACCCCTCGCCCGTCTGCACCGCGAACAGCGTTAGCATCGCGGACGCGACATTGTCGTAGTGGAAGCTCTGCGTCATCCACTGGCGCGGGCACACGCGCGGCAGTAGGCTGTTCTGATCGTACAAGAAATACGACCCTCTGCGGATGGAGATAAGGATTAGTGTCGCGATAAAACTTAGGCAGTGGAAGGTAAAACAAATGAAAATGAAAAATAAGAAACAATGACAGGTTGACAATTTTAAAAAGAAATCGAATCTACACATTCTTTTTTGGAAAGCTACATCGTCAATTGTTATTTTATAGATACTGATAACAAATTCAAAATTTAACAAGGAAGATAAGTATTAAATTACAAGTTTATAGATAGTTACAGAGACAGAAAATTAAATAAGAATAATAAAAGATAATACTCACTGGCAGTCTTCAAATGTATTCTTACTGATATCGTTGCAGTGAAAAAATTTACCATTAAAAAGTTGAACTGCAATTACAGCGAATATGAATTGAAACAATATGTACACAATGAGAATGTTGATGACATTTTTCAAAGAGTTCACAACACAGTCAAACACTGCTTTTAACTTTGGAACACGTTTTATAGTTTTCAATGGTCTGAGCACTCTTAACACTCTTAACGATTTTATTGTGGACAAGTTTTGTCCCGCCCCCTTTTTGACACCTCTGTAACAAAGAAAAAGACAATATTAACATACATTCCAAACTGTTTATCACACTAAATATTTCTTAATAATAAAACGTAAAATGTTAGAAAAACAAGACGCATCAATTGGGCTAAAAAGAAAGCTGAGATTAAACAACACCTTATTCGTCTAGCAACCTTTTCAGTCAATTCCTCTATGTTTTCAGTCATCAATTTTGCACTGTGGCTTACACGACCGAAATATTTTTAGGCGTTGCTCGGCGGTGTTAACCCTTCATTTGATTTTGTTCACTGGGATGAACATTCAATTGAAAAAAATAATATGCCGAGTGCATACGTCTTAATTTCTGGTAAGTTTTTTTTTTCACTAGAAAATATACTTAAGTTTTGGTAGAAAAATATTTTTATGTGCTAGTCACAGTCTGAAAGTGTTAATTTTAGCCAAAATGCCGGCCATAGCGAAGACCAGGCTTTAGTGTCAAGGTGTTTATTCAAGCTTTACATGTTTTTTATTATAATTGAGTAATGACAGTGGTTTTAACGTATGGCATAGTGTTTATGCTTAATAACTTGATTGATTTACAATGCTCATTTAATAAATAAGCCATTTTATACCAGGTCAAAGTCGAGTGTTCATCCCAGTGAACATTGCCAAATTACNTGGCAGTCAAAACCAAAAAAACACTTTTGCCGGTTAACCTACAGTTGGATATTAAAAATGAGATGTGACGGCTATGCGCATCAGTGCTGGCAATATAAATTATGATTTATACCATTGTAGCCTAAACCAGTGATTTTTAAAATCATTTGTTCTAAGCTGCCCCTGTCCAAAGCTGCCCCCCTCTCCCCTATAGCTTAACCAGCGATAAGTTTAACGAAGAATTTGAAAGAAAGAAGAATCCGAACTCACCCGATCTCGAAACCGAAGCTGACGAGGGCACAGATGACGACCGTGGCGTCCATAATGTTCCACAGATCGCGCAGATACGCGCCAGGGTGGAACAGTATGCCCAGGTCGACTATCTTCAACAGCATCTCCACGGTGAACACGCCCGTGAACGCGTAGTCGAACCAGTTTAGCACTTTGTTCCTGGAAAAGAACAAATAGTTAAGTAACCAAGTTATAAACTTGTAACTTTGGAAGTGTGACTTGGAAGCTGTCGGCAGATGGCTAACGCTGATAATAATAGGTACTAAGGCAAAGGCAGTCTAGTTTCTGTTAATTAGATTTGACAAAGATGTGGTAAAATATAGTGCCTGCAGCAGCCGAATGCCGACGGTATCCAATTCATACCTTAACAGAACCAAAAAGTCTTACCGCTCACTCCCTTCAAAGACTGGGTCTTCAGCTGCTAAAGCCGCAGAACTCAAGCATATAACTATCATAATAAAAAAATCAAAATATCTTAAATTTACAACCCAGTGTGCGCCTCGCCTAATTCTGTAACAAACAAAACGAACAGTAGTAAATATTCTCGATGAAAATCAAGTCTTCTTAAACCTAAACATTAGTTGTAGCCGAAAGCAGTAAAGTCATATCAACAACAGTTAACTTACGGATTAGTAGGTGACAAAATAAACATGGACGAATATGGCAGCATTGGTTTTGGTCCATCTGGTATCTCCTCCTCGTCTTCTTTTTTGGCCTCTTCTTTCTTTTTCTGGAATATTACACAAATCCTTACAATGATCGGAAATGTTATAGTCTGATAGAAGTATCTGCTGCTTTACTTCTGGCTTTTACAAATTGCTTTAATGAGTAAGTACTAGCAAGATTTATTAGCTTTGTAGTTAAAATTCTACTACTAAAAGTAGCGGTTTTAATAAAACTTATGTTTGACTATCAATGTCTAATTCTTGTTATAAAATGTAGCAATGAGCTAAAATACTTTTCTATTATAATTAGGCAGCATTTTTACTTTATCCAAACTATTTTGTCTTAACACAATATTTTTATCTAAACTGTTACATATTGAACACAAATTAAGTCTCTTTTGTAAATGAAAACCATAAAAATTACCTTAATATTCAAATACATAAGCTAACTACTTTGCTTAAGTTCAAAACATGCGTAAGAAAATACAATTAAAATCAATGGTATTGAAGTATTCCAATGAACTCATATTAAATTTTAAGCCAAAGAAAACAAATTTTGAAATTAATACACCTAGAAAATTTTTGTGAATGACTTTTCCTAGCGATATTTTTAGTTCAGAGAAATTAATATAAACATTTTGATTTCTATTGACCACATTTAGCCAGCTAGGTAGATATAAATGTTGAATTAAAATAACACCTATTGTACATTCTGCCCACAAAAGCGACATTGAGCCGTCATGATACTGCCACAGTTAAAATATTGTTGATTTTCGCAAGCATGATGAGTAGGAAAATTCAGTAATGAGAAGAACATTCTCAAAAGAAATTATGGCGTGCAAGAGACGTGCAATGACCAGGAATGGAGAAATGAAAAAGATGACAGAGGATTAAATGAAAAAACATCCACAATATTTTAACCGGCTGACATGAATGCATACGATGAAGCGAGCTTAGCATCACGGCCATACGGCGTTACCTTCCTACTCGCCGGCGAAGAGGGACTTAAGTCTACTCGAGGTGGAGTCCCATCCACCGCATGTAACGCACCCATCTCTTTCTCCAATTCCTAATTAGCCGAAACAGAGGTTGTCGTATGAAATAGAAATTTCGATACACCTAAATAGTTCCAATCTTCCATACAACAACCGCTCGATAGTAAATGCTCGTGGAAGAGTGGTTGAACATGCTATGGTATTGATATCGTGATTCTATCAACTAAAGTTCAAAGCATCAGAGAATGAATTTAACATTCTAATGTACAGCGTGATGGACGTTTCGAAGCAGACTTACTTGTTGTTGCTTCTCTTTGTCCTCCTCGACTTGTTCCTCTTCTGCCGCTGTCAATTCCTGGAAAGACAAATGCAACATTTACACGAGAAGCGGCGTCAGATTTACAAGTGAGCGTAGACGTTGACACACAACATCGTCTTGCAATTTCTGCGCTTGAACACTTAGCCTATTTTGATGATCTTTGAAACATAGATGCTACTACTCTTATAGTGTTTACAGACGGATCATCCAGAGCAACACCGAGTTACGTTGTATTGGCACTTACTTGGGCGTTAGCCAAGTTGTCGACAGCGATGGCAAGGAACACGTTTAGCAGGGTGTAGTTGCCAAACAGCACCAGGATGACGAAGTACAGAGAGTAAAGCATGCCCCTCTGTATCCCGCCCTGAGACTTGATGCCGTCATACATCACTTCGTTCCAATCTTCTCCTGTTAGGATCTGAAATACAGATAGAAAGTTTTAAATACAGATTCTAATTTTAACCAACTTTTTAAAACTTTTGAACTAGTACTTGATGACGTCAGAGAGACAGAGAGTAAAATGACGCTGATTAATGATGATACATTGAAGGCAGTGATATAGGAGAATATCACATAATCGTAAGACGCGGTCAATTAAACTCTATCGATACTTTTCAAGAAAAGAGGCTAAATTAACAATGGTATCAAAAAGGATAGTTACCTGGAAGACAGTAAGCAACGCAATGGGGAAAGTGTTGAAGTTGGTAGGTGGCGTGCCGTCTTCGAAGTTGAACTGCCCTCCGAACAGCTGCATGCCGAGCAGGGCGAAGATAAGGATGAACAGGAAGAGAAGGAACAGCAGAGAGATGATGGATCTCATCGAGTTCAGGAGAGATATCACTAGGTTTCGGAGTGATGACCAGTATTTTGTGACCTGAAATATAAAAGTTTTGTTTTTGAGGTCTGCAAGTTTAATCCCAGATTATTATGTGTCACTTTTCAATGATTTTGCTACATAAGATTCCCCTATTTTAAAGTTAATACCTACCTAGTTATTAGTTACAAGTATTAGACAAGTTAAAGATCTATATTAAAATGTTATTCACAAATCACAAAAATCAACATAAAACCTATTATCTTGAGCCTAATATTTGCACGATCTACAAGTATGTAGCTCGTGTCGATAGCTCGTGTAAATAATAAGACAGATAAAACTGTAATTATTAAGGGAGCATTTTATTTCTCACACTACCTTTTGTCCGCTACTATACGTTTATCAAGTAAACTTGTAAAAATATCTTAAACAAGTATCAAAAAGCAGCTAAATAATAATTACCTTAAATATTCTCAACAGTCTTAAAGCTCTAAGGACAGAGAGGCCAAAGGAGCCCCCCTTAACCTCCGACCAGACCACTTCGAAGATGGAGCCCGAGATGACCACGCAGTCGAACCGGTTGAACGAGGACTCGAAGTATATCCGCGGTCCCAACGCATACATCTTCACCCACATCTCCATCATGAACAAACCCAAGAACACAAATTCGGCGTAATCTGAAACAAATGACGGTGAGTTATACTTTTTGACACTTTATATCTGGCAATTAGTTGGATTAAAATGTTTTTATATTTGAAATTTTTGATTTCTTATTACTATCTAAAAGATTGCGAATTGGGAGTCGCCTGAAGGGTGTGTGTTTCACAACTTCATGTAGTTTAGTTATGTCTTAAAATACGGAAAATTTATACGTTTACCGTTTTTAAATTCGTAAAATTATTTCTATTTTACATATCACTCTTACACTTACATAAAAACGAAGTTAGCCACTTAGGTTGCTTATAGTGCTCAACAGCGACACATATCGTATTGAAGAACACCAAGACGATGACGAACCAATAAAACCACTGGGTTTTCACTGTGTGTCGGATCCAAAACCGGAACCTTTTCTCGGCGCGCCAGAAGTCCGCGCATTTGCCCACAGATCTCGACTTGCTTTTCAGAAAACCTGTCGTAAACAAAAACGTATTAGTAAAACATATTTCTCAAGAACCAAAAGCTGTTGATCTAACAAACGTCACTCGAGTTCGTGAAATCAACAGTAACTATTACTAAAGGGAACATTCAGCTAATGTTACTAGCATATACGCACATATAGCTTACTTATCAGCACTTTTAGCTTTCGGGACATAATAAGCTGGATGTTGGAGGTTCATATTAGAACGCGTAATTGGACAGGACTTAGAGCGGTGTCGGAATACGATCGAGGTCGCTACTCGACACTAGAGCCGTATAAATTTCTAACGACCCTCCCTGGGGGCAGTTGTTCTGTTATCCCTAGTTTTTTCAGTCACGCTTTAAGGTAACCTTAAAGTAGGTTAAAGCGATTTTTATTTTATATTCAACGCTGGGGAAGAAGGTGGAAGAGAAGTAAGAATAGCAAGAGTTTAGAAGATAGTTTAGACGCCCGAACGTTTAAAAAGTTATTAATTGTTAAGTTATCAATACAGCACAGTTCAGTTTTTATAATAAAATTAATCAGTTACGATTTAAAAAGGCATGGGAAATTGATATAAAAGTGACGCTTTTTTGTTCAAATACGTAAATATCATACATAAACGTACGGACGTTATAGTCGGGTTGGAAAAAGGAGTAACTATGCCTAAATCTATGACTATACTAGTTCTCAACTACAAAGAAGATGAAAAGGAATATTCTACCAGCATCACGCTTGATCCCATACCTTGCTTTTTCTTTGGAACTGTAAACAACCAACACACAAATAGAGTACGAATACTTAATGGAAGTGGATGAAAACGAGTGTATAGGTTTACAAGAGAACACAACATTAACATGCAACATTCATTAAATTCTTTTGATTATCGATATCAATTTGTACTAAAACAGATATATTGCAATAATTAACCACGATTTGAAAATTTACATCACAACGTGGAAAGAGAAATGAAAAGTTTAAATATTTAAAACCATCAAACTCTTTAAAGGTTTGTAAAATCAAATATAAATCAACATGCTGCTAATAAAACACATGCTTTCGCAATTAATGTAGCTATAGTCTAAAATAAATATTAACGAACACAACGGGGCGATAAAAATGAAAAGATTAATCGTAAAAACATTAACACTCAACACGACGGGGACAAACATGAATTGAACAAGAGGTTCGATGTACTAACCGTCATCCCCGCAGTCTTCGTCTTGCTCTTCTTCTTCTGTGTCTGTGCTTTTACTTTTGCCTAAGTTTTTTAACTTTTTCTTAGCTGCTGCTCTTCTCCGAGCTGTTGGCATAAAATAAGTTTTAATATTTTCACAAGCTCTCGTATTTCCCATTAGTATTGTCTTTTGAGCGGGTGACATATTTACCTTCTATTATGTGCATTTTTTCTTCTTCTGTTGTTCTTTCTTCTGCTAATATTACTTCCTCTGAAATAAAAACATTTTAACAACTTCAAGTTTAACTATAGTGGCTTTGATTTGTTTTTTTTTGTTGTTGTTTTCAAGTAACTTACCGGCTTTACATATCCACTCAACATAACCGTTGAGTTCTCTCTCTAGCTGCTGCTGCCTTCTTAACTTAAGAAATTCTTGTCTATTTTCTACTTTCTCTCTTTCTTTAGCAAATTCACTGTAAATATAGCATAAGATGTGAAATGAATTCTAGCAATACTCAAAAATGTGTCATAATCATTTATTTTTTCGATAAATCTAGCCTTGTATTACATAGGTGATGATACAAAATAGTCGATAGTAAAGTCTATCAGTACTTACTTAAATAATTGAGATTACTTATAGATACAGGATGAAGCTTATAATAGCGTAATGTAAATATGAGATGATACAAATAAGAGTGAACCAAAATCAAGATTTAACTAAAAAAGACACAGAGCATAAACTTTGTTAGTTCAAGCAGGTCATAGACCAAGGTTTACTGGTAATACGATAGATATCAAGCTGCGTCACACGGTCTCAAGTCAGATCTCAAGTCAGACCTGCTTCTGTGATCCAGTTTAGGTACGCGCTGAAGTCCTGGTTGAACATCTGTCGAGCTCTTTCCTTCTGGAACTGAGCTCGTCTCTCAACGCGCCCCCTCTCATTAGAGAATTCTCTGGTTTTGGCCAAGCGTAAAGCAAGTATCATTATTATATTTTAAAAGAAATTTCATCTTGGTTAAAACATCAATTTAATTTAAACAGGCTTAACCATCTTTATGTCAAATTATTTCTGCGAAATATAGGAAATAACAATGATGCATACATAATTTGACGGAATTTGTCAATTACCAAAACATAAAAGTAAGTTAAGCAACACATTTGATAACAGAAACGAAAAGTTAACATCAGTTGAGTATTATGACATTGAATGATATGATGAGTGCAATAAAAGTGAAGTGTTTGAAGACTCACCCGCTAAGGACACCGAGAACTAAGTTGAGCATAAAGAATGAACCCAATACTATGAGAGGCACAAAGTAAACCCAGTTGAACGCACTACCTAACGCGTCATTTGTCTGAAACAAAACAAATTAGTGGCAGTTTGATACAAGTTATTTAATTGATTGGGGAAGAAGCTAGTAAATTCTCGCTCGATGCTTTATCGCTTAATAGTGCAGCTTCCTGATGCATTGGAATATTATTAAGTGTGGTCAAGTTGATGTTTACAAATAATGTGAAGATATGAAGAAAAATACTGTCTTAATTACATGGCAATCCACTCCTCCAAGATTATGTCAACAGATGGTATCTGACCAAGCTATTGACGAGTACCGTTAAACAGATATCCACTGAAAACATTCCGGTCACAATTACAATGCCATGGAAAACGATTAAACGTAGTTGAAGCTTTTAATGATTGTTGTTGAAAGTTTGAAACGAACTTCCAAGAGATCTGGTGAAGGTCGTGGGAAGCGCCTGGATGCGGTCAGCGCAAGAGCAGTCGTTGTGAAAATCTTTGGGCGGCAGTGGAGGGAATTTGAATGAAACGAACCAAAACTACACAGGACTTAATAGATGATAATATTATGATCAGACGTATCTGAACTTGCTGACGGTTGATGACTTGTGTGAAAGTGACTTACCCAATAGAGGATGGCGGTCCAGCCCTCCATGGTGATGCACTGGAAGACAGTGAGCATGGCAAAGCCGATGTTGTCGAAGGACGTGATGCCCTTGTTCGGCCCCTCCCACTTTTCGAGGCACGTGCTCTTATCGTACTCACACACGTGCGCCCCGTACGGCGCCAGCGACACGTTGTCCGCGTTACAAGGCGTTGGATTGTCGCCATCATTCATTATTTCATCTGTTGGTAGAACAAGGGTTTTAGTACATAGCACACATTTGATAATGGCTTACATCTGTCCATTAAATTAGGAATAAAAGTTATGCCTCATAGCCCAAAAATTAGGCATAAAGAGGACAAAAGTCAAGAGAACAAAATCAAACATTTGGTAACAACAAACCTACAGAAATGTCAACAATATGTTAAACGTCTAACTCTAAAAGATAAAGTGGGTGAACTTAGAACTTTTTATTCCCGATGAATCGAAAGAATTTATATGGCAGTGGCAAAAAAGTTGCCATAGCATTGTGATCGAAAATGAGCCCAAAAATGATGTAAAAGTTTTCGCGCGTTCAGGGCTTAAATTGTTAATAATGATGAAAACTAAAGTTACCTTAGCGATTGAAAAATTGGCCCCATATGATTAACCATATTTTACCCGCAATCGCACTTTTATTTTACCCCAGGAAATAGTGGTGCATTACCAGTAACAAGAAAATATATGCACAAAGTTTCCGATTCGCAATGCTCTCGCGTGCATTCGACAAAGTTTCGCGATGTAATTAATTAGTTAATTAATGAAACTGGGTCGATCTTTTGTGAGCATTAACGCTGCTTGCAGTTGCTAGGTCGTTGTATGTAGGGCACTAATCCTCTTTGGTGTTTTAATGTAGTCTTCAGAAGGAAAGTAAATAAGACTTTGTGAAATTCATCGTATGCTTGTGGATTGTATAATTAGGTGGAGAATGACTTTAGACAACGAGGTCTTTACTATCCTATTCGCAAGCAAAAGTATCGAAACACCTCTTATGTTTTGTTCGAGTGATCTTATAAAGAGTTAAGTAAAAGACTGATGATGATGTGTCTATGGTATCAATTTAAAGTTTATAACTTAACCTTTCAAAATTTCAAATGATTCCATATTAATCTTCATTAGTAATTTAGATCTTTAGATAGCTTGGGACAAATAGGGTGACTCCATACATTTACTAGCGAGTGTAGTTATCTGATTTCATAACCAATTTGACACAAAAATAATAAATCAAAGTTACTGTCCTAGTTGCGATTTATTTTCATGTCAGTTCCATAAATATGAAACCGCAGTTAAACAAAACCGAAACAGAAATACGCGCATCTGTTTGTAGCGGTGAAGTTAAAATACAACACAAACAAAACATTCAATTGGAAAGCGTTTGTTGATTGTAAAAGTTGCATCAACATGTGAAGCAGAGGATAGTGATTTATTGAAATTTGAATTCGACAGCAAAAACTGATTGTTTTGACTGTTACTATGAAAATACGTCTAGTGATAGTACGAGTATGTTGATCATGAATTAGTTAGGTTTTTTATTTGGTGTCCTGTAAAATGTTTTTATCAACCGGCACCAGTTTCTGACTTACGCGTAACGTAACATGGAACTAACGTATAAAATTATGAGAGATCTATTCAAATCTGCCAAATTTTGACCTCGAATCGTTAACGCCTTTGGGACAAATTTTACAATCCATTAGAGACATTTTGTGGTAGGCTGTGTACGTATTATGGTTTGGATAATAACAAAATTAAGTACTTACTAATATCTTCTAAAGTATAACAAGTCTTATGGAGTGCCCCAGAGTAGAACTCGAGGCCTATAATGGCGAAGATGACTATAGCGAAAAGCACCAACAGCCCGATCTGAAGCAACGGGGCCATAGCCTTGATGATGGACTTCAAGACCACTTGCAGACCTACACGAGAAATCAAACTTTATTATAATGCCAAGAAAGCTTAAATTGTAATTTTCGATTGCTTGAATGAGAATGAAGGAAAGGACTTTACGGAACAGATTGAAAAGCATTAATTGACTGTCATTTTACTGTAATTTTAGTTTGGAAAATTGAATTACTGAAGCTATTTGGCAAGGGTATCAGTTTAAAGGTTCAATTCAGAGATGATCAGGTTAAAGTATATTGGCAAAGGTAACTATTCAAACTAGCGATACAATACTAGATAAGACGAAAGAAAGATTAACGCTATGGAGATGATAAAAATGGTAAAACAAATGAAAACGTTTAGTTAACGTGCACAAGAATAATGGGGAGCGCTGTTGCATAACTTCGCTCGAAAACAAAAGACAGGTGTTCTTTTTTCAATTTATCGAACGGCGTATTTTTTCTGGTGTCATTTCCAGCCAGCTTGTAACACAATCGATACTATCGAAAGAGTTTGCAAGCTGAATTGATTTATTTTTAATTTTGTTTCGTTGTCCTTGTAGAAGTTATGCAACAGCCAGTGCTAATGTTGCTACGTGTAGCTAGTAATGTTCTAAAACTCACTAGGAACGCCCGATACTAATTTAAGGGGCCTCAGCACCCTAATGGCACGCAAGGTCCTGAAGTCGACGTCGGGCGCGACCGGCAGCTGCGTGATGATACTGCCAAACACATATCACTCGGTACTATAGCTTGAAACTAGCAGCTAGCTTAGGAATAAAACCTCTACGTAAGTCTGTGCTTTTTGGGGTTCTTTTTTAATAAGTTTGTATTTTTTTGTCATGAAAATGGCGTTGTAAAAGAGTTACAGTAATGAGTTTCATTTAAAGTAAAAGCACAGACCTTGTTTATTAATTATGAAAATATTTTAAAATGAATCGTCTAGCTTAATTTCTACCATCTAAATATCGTGTATCTAATTAGTCAGATTATTATAAACTAATCACACGTTTATTACGCATTTTAATCTAAATACACCATATTTATTCACACCTAGTATCATTTCTTTATCTAATTTCTTACATATTAAACTTTTATATTTTACCTACGCAATACACAATTATAGCAAATCGTTACTATTATGCAACACGTAGCTGATCCAAATAACATTTAAACATTTTCCATTAATCAATAAAATAAGTATCACACATTGTCTAAGCTGTAACGAAACGTCTCATAAAGTGTGCCGAGAGTTCGACGCTACGTTTTTACTAAGAATTGAAAAGTTCTATTTTCAAAAAACACTAGCGACGTCTACGTTGGAAAATTCGAAATTCGAAAATATCTAGCGAGAACGTTCTATACAAATAAGGTAGGTATTATGTGAACGGTTCGCCAATTACTGTGAATTACTTGGTATCCGCGAGACGAGCTTGAGCGGGCGAAGCACTCTGAATGAGCGCAGCATCCGCAGGTCAACGTCCACGTTGTATTCGGCGAATATCGTCATCGACCTAGTTTTTGTCATTATTCGTTCAGTAAGGTAAACACACTCTGTGGCACCTGACTAAGATTTTTGGCGAACTTTTGACTGACAATTTAAACCAATTGGTGGCCTGATTGATCACAACTGATTGGTCGTATGAATTTCTGAGTCTTTCAATATTTTGGCATTACAGTCTTTATTTGATCAAAACTAAAACCAAGCACACATTTTACAAGCGTAATAATATTTCTTACAAATAGTAATTTTAACTTATGAAGAGATACTAATACAGTTTATGAAAGAAGACCGATAAAATGCACATTGATAAGGCATGCCAACATATTCAAAGATTCATTCATACAAAATGCATATTCGCATGAACATTGTAAAGAACAACATTGATGGCATAGTAAATAGTTTTTGAATTGGATTGTTCTTTATGATTAGTTCAATCCACAATCCTAATAATGAAAAGTTTTTAACAAACACATCTAAGATAAAACACTAGTAATAAAATGCAATACTCACCCAGTTACTACAACGAAAAAATCCATGATGTTCCAAACGTTCCTAAGGTACGATCCCCTGTGTAAAACAAAACCTAAGGCTAAGATTTTTAACGAGGCTTCTACACAAAATATTCCTAAAAAGTACGTCTCGGTCTCTTCCTGCAACAAAAAGAAAACAAAAATGTTAATATCAACACAAAAAACACAGTTCGCAATACTAGAATGCTTTCTTTGTTTCTAGGGATTTACAAGTGACTGAGTTTTAAAATAATTGCTCTTTAGAACACTAAAGCCAAAAACCAATAAAACAATCAACGTTTAAATTTTTTTTTGGTCTTTGCTAAAGGTTCATTTATAGAACTTCTTGTAATGGGTCAAAATAATAACATTCATCTAATCCCTACCTGAGTTTGAATTGAGTTTTGAGCGTTTTTGTAATACCAGTAATACTTACTACTTCATTTGTTTTCACACATGTTTATGTAAATAAATATCTTTATCTTTTTCATGATACGGACGCAATAGGCCTTCAAAAATTTGCTTGGTAGCTTTCAGAGTACAACAGATCAGAGACAGAGAGGTTATCTGATTTTGATTTGCAATTATAGTATTTAAAAAATATATGTTTAACGTACCAAATTCTGTGCTAAGACGGTCTTATCGCCGTTAGGCAAATGCTCCTCCAGCGCCAGCACCACGCAGTTGGCGATGATGGTAAGCAGCACCGCGTACTCGAAGGGCGGCCACTCGATGATGAATTTTGTATACCTGGAAATAGAAGTTATATTCGATTAGCAAACTTTTCACCAACGGAATGATAGGGTTCTTATTTTGAACAAGAGATGGCGCTGCCTGCATACAAGCTCGCGATTATTCAATAACCTAGATCTTATTATGTAGGACATGGTATGGTATAGTCTAGTCATGAGATATCTTGTACAATAAATCATGCATTAACAATGGACGACTGCTTTTTGAAACATTGCCAAGTGTCTGGTATATCATCAACCGAGATAAAATTAATTGCCCTTACGACCTAAATCTTGGGTTCCCTTTTTATCTTCTTTCTATATCCATATTACTTGCAGAAAAAAGTCGCTCTCATTGGTGAACATCGCTGACAAATATCAAGTGTGTTTATTTTTTAAAGCTTCATTTTAAAACTTTCATTTGATAATGTACGGTTGTAACAAAACCATTGTCATTCTGTCTAAACAGTTGAAAGTGGAATCTTTTATCAAACGCTTGTACCTAATTACAGCCTTATTGCGCCGCCGGTGGGGATAATTAGTTATAGCGACATAAGTGCCGTTTGATACACTGTTTAGTGCTAAACTGTCTATTAATCGGAAAATTGCTATCGTGTCTGACACGTGCATATACAACACGTCATCAAGATAGGCACATTAAAGGCATTACTTGATGAAGTAAAGTTCTGACACTTGCGAAGTTTTTTTTTTAGTAGTTTTAGCTAGTGCTTGTGAGTTGAGATTGGGAAGTATGGGTGTCGTTTTTCAGTGTAGTAGGATTCAATATTTCACAATTAGGTACATTAAACACACCAAAATGTAATACCAAAACTCCTAATTTAACTAGTTTTAAATAACCAAAGAGTAAATAGTACTTATTGGCAGTCGCCAGAATTAATAATAAAGTATGTTGATTAACAAAAAACAAATCCGTAATATTAGGCTGGAAATCTAGAATCACCTGGGGGATTTATGTTTCTCGTCAATTAAATTAAATTCTACTGTTTCCGTTATTATGAAAATAGAAATAGTAAAGTTACATTTTTTTCAATCAAAATCACAAAGAAATAAAGCGTAGTATTTCAGATCAGCCATAGTATCCAACAAAAAACTTTCTGTAAGTAGGATGTAATACTCTCGCAAAATCTCACAATCACGAGCATCTCGTAAAGTCGTTGCATTCAAAGCAAATATTTATAACGCACCTAAATATCGCAGTTTACAAGAACTGGCACCGTTCCACCGTTGCAGGGAGGGTATGTTGCAGTTCTTCGGTTAATATTCTCTGACCCGTCCTATATACATAATTTAGCCGATTACGCATTTCTTCCGTGACTAAACGTGAATTATTCGGATTCCGAGTATTTGACGTTTGGCAATTATTGTTTATCGATAGCATTTGTTAGTGGGAGTTTGTTCTGTTGGCGTTAACAAGTACCTACTAAATAAAATTAGCGTCGTTTTAATACTTGTGTAGCACTTTAATAAATAACAGTTTGACAAAAATGATTTTTAAAAGTATGTTCGTGTATAAATCCGTAACGACGATCAAGATCTTAAAATTCGACTTAACTTCTATCATCGATTCTGTCTCGTGATTGATCTAAATATTCGACTTATCAAAAGCCTCAATAAATTCAATCAATTGCGATAGAATAGTTTTAAACTTCGTTTCTGTGGTAATACGGACCTAAGAGTTCACGATCACGGTGAGATCGATTTAGTTGTGACGTGCCAGGGCAACAAGTATGTGAACTATCCTTTTATCTGCTACTCGTATGAATAAATTAATCGTTTTACTACTACAAACCAATTGGCTGACTTTCATTTAGAAACCGCTTTGCAAGTAAATAAAATTAATTTGTGTACCTATCTAAATATTGTTGTTAACTAGTGGTCCCATAATACAGTGATACACAGTCACAATCATAAATACATTAAAATACATTTCATTTCATTTTTTTCATAGAAGCTATTTCAAATAATAATACCTACTCGAATTAGGCGACACACTAATTCACTAACTCGAAATGATTATTCAAATGAATAAAAAAGAACGGCATCAAATGCATCATCTTGATGCAAATGAAAACGTAATAATTAAGAGGCATCAAGCAAGAAATGCATCTTCATTTCTGGTCGTGAATTCAGGAATTTGCATGAGATCTGGGTTGGAAGGGTTTATTCCACATTTAAATACTTAATGGCCACTTCACTTTTAGCGAATGCGGCTGGAATTTACATTTACTCTTTGACCATTTCATGTTTTTGATATTAAAATAAATCACGGTAAGTAATTAGTATGAACTTAATTAAATATCAAGCTCACTTGTGTTAGGAACGTATTTTTATGAAACTTTATTTACTCTACAGTGTAAAACTATGTAACATAGGTACGATAGCAAGTCAAGCTAAATACTGCATTTAGTTGCAACAGTACTATTCTGTCATAAAAACTGTACGCATGTGGCTTACTAGACTTGCGGTTTTGCGGTAGTTAGTGTCTTAGGTAGTCCGGATGACTGAGCTAGTCGAAAGGGCGTACCTACTCAGTCGTATGATAGTAGTTATCAAACATTGGAGAGGTTGAGAGAAATGATTTACGCTCGTAATTTTGCTGCATAGCCAACAGACTGTAAATTGGTAAGGTCGTTAGGAATACATGCATGCGGAATGCGAATACAATAGTAATTGTGGATATTTGTAGTCTAAGCTTAACAGTGTTTCCGACAATTCAGTGATGGATAGGACAAGGCTTTGAGAAGGCTTCATCAAATCGAGAGTGATAACGAAAGTTATACACCTATTGTATAGATCTCCTGGGCAATGGAACCTCGAGCTGATGATATTATCTGCCGCTCTTTATCAGTAGCATAATACCATTGCAAAGTAAAGAATCTGGGGGCACGGCAGTGCCCCCACCAAGTCGAGCAAAAAAGCGGCACGGCCGTACCATCCTTTTCTCGAAGCAATTCAGGCCATTTTCGACCGCCTGTAACTTCGTTGTGGATAAAACTAGAAGGCTGAATTTTCATTAGCTATGCAGGAATTGTAAAGACACGGTATATTTAAAATTTCATTCAATTTGAACCAGTAGTTTAAGAATTATAACGGGTCAAAGTTACTTAATTTTGTCACTCACTGACTCACTGACTGACTCACTGACTGACTCACCGATCATCAAAACTCTAAGGCACTTCTAGCAGACCTAGAAGCTTCAAATTTGGAATATAAGTAGTGTTTGGTGTATGAATCAAGGAAAAACTAAAATATTTGGGGGCACGGTAGTGCAACCGCCAAGTCGAGTAAAATTTTTCAATTTCGGTCCAGTTTTCTAGATACATAACTGCTGTCTACAAAATACAAAAAGAAATGAGATCCCATCAAAAACAATACTTGTCAAAAAAACCAAGTCTCGCAACTCAGTTGTTCTACGGTAAAAAGTTGTGAGATCCATGTAATACCAAGTCCAGGCCAGGAAATCTTTAACGTTTTACATAAATATATTGACTTGGCCATCGCATGAAAACACGTGTAAATTAAATTATTTAGTGCGATGGCCAAGTCAATATTTTATGTAAAACGTTAAAGATTTCCTGGCCTGGACTTGGTATTACATGGATCTCACAACTTTTTACCGTAGAACAACTGAGTTGCGAGACTTGGTTTTTTTGACAAGTATTGTTTTTGATGGGATAGAAGTTTACAGATACGGGCATTTATGAACATTAAGCTGTCAGCTATTAACTGCACTTTACGAAAATAATTGTCCAATATTATCAACAGCTGTGTCTAATATCAAATATGTGATGCATATTTTCATAATACAGTGCAGTAACATGCTCACCTCCGAATAGGATTTTAGATGAAGAATATGAAGATCGAGCCATGTTTCGGAACAACGGGATAAAACAATCTGTTACGAGATCAGCGATCAGTTATCGCTCCTTGTGAGTTGCGTATTTACGTTATACCTACAGTGCAATGAAGTTCTGAGCTCTTAGGTTGTTATGAGCGAACTGTCCATGGTACATTGTGTATACGGGACACCTCTCATTCCCACCGCTGCAACTCCTGTGTAGCCAGGATCTACAGCTTGACCGTCAATAAAAACCCAACCAGTGAAGGCAAGGAGAAAGTTAATTAAGGGGGCTAATCTTATGAGCAATTAGCTGCTTGCCAATAATATTTTTCACAAAATTGCTTAAAAGCACGGAAATGTTTCCTTGTCGCAACAAAATCGGTGTAATAAATTGTGGAAACAGATGTAATGTTGTAGGTATTGAATAATGCATTATGTCACTTTCATGTTTCCAAAGCACACCTACATTGTGTATAGTGAAGTGATCTCTCACCTCCGAATAGGATTTTTGTTGGAGAATATGAACAGCGAGCTGGGCCCCAGAGCAGCGAGATAAAACACCATAGCGTAAACTGCCCATACGGTACATTGATTATCCTGATGATTGACGTATTTTCATTAATACAGTACCTACAGTCACGAGCTTTCTTCCGAATGGAAGAGCCGCTATGCGTTGCCCATGATAAAAGTTGGCGTAATTGCCGTATAGTACAGTGAAAACTCTTGCTCACTTCCGATACGAATAGCATTCTTTGAGCTATACAACTTTGGCGAAGGCAAATGGAAGGGTTATGTTTGTAATATAATGAAGTAACATGCTCACCTCCGAATAGGATTTTCGTTGGAGAATATGAACAGCGAGCTGGGCCCCGGAGCAGCGGGCTGGTGCGCGCCGCCCATGGTATCAGCTGGCGCAGCGCGAGCCTGCGCGCCCGCCGCCTCCTGCGCTGCCGCCAACCTGCAAACACCGGGAATGACACGTTATTATTGTGTACAATAAGGTTCAGATTAGGACGACAGGTGTGGAAAATTAATGTTCCTTATAACCCATTGAGGACCAGACCAGTATTTAGAAATACCTACCTACCCTAGATAGGCAAGTATAATACTACAAGTGGAAATAATAAAACAGTGGCGGCTAATTTGCAATAACGTCATAACAACGTCAGCGCAATTAATAAAGGGCAAATCCAATATTGTCGTCAGTAGGGTGACCTCAACTTATGCGCATATAAGTGGTCGTATACAGGGTGTTAGGTAAATGGGTACATGAGCCGACACTAGCCCATGTTAACATGAGCATATAAATGGTACGGTGAAGTCAGAAAATTGATATCTTCATTTTAATTATTTTAAATTTCATACAAATCGGATTTTATAAAATTTATTTTGTATGAAAATTAAAAAAAATTAAATGATGATATCAAATTTCTGACTTCACCATTTCATTTATATGCCCATGTTAACATAGGCTAGTGTCGGCTCATATACCCATTTACCTAACACCCTGTATATGAACAACAAATTGAATAGACTCGCCAAATGTAGGTCAGTGCCTCGGCATCGTGTGACAACACGGGAAGGGCATGCGGGATGCATTATATTAATTAAAGTTCTCGCTGATAACATTTGCATTTAGCACATCTATGTAAAGTCGAACTAGATGTGAACCTTATGGTTGTTAGTACCTACATTCTATAGCTATTGATAGTCTATTTTTCTGTAAAAATAATTTGACTAAAATCGCACAAGGACGTGCAACTGAATAACTAAAGTAGTAGTTTATAATCTAAAAACACGCTTTTAATTAGCTCGATAAGACAAATTCAATGAACCCAAATTCGATGCGATTCCGCCGTTTCGTTCAGGAGTTCCAGTCCCAGACCAGCTCGATGGTACCTTAATATAGTCATCTAATCTACATATAATTGCCAAGTTTCATGATGGTACAAGAATTAGAAGTGCGTGTAATTCAGATTCTTACATTCCATTACATAGTTACAAACACAACGACCTAATAAAAGCGTGTTCAAAAGGACATTATCCATTTTGGTTCAAAGGCAGTATACTTTCGAGTTTTAAAATAAATGTAAACAAGTATAATAACTCTCAATTGGAATTGGAATTTGCAACTTGTTCAATCGGGCATTATTAAATAAAAAGCTTGTAATAAGTAGCTGTTACTGATATTTTCTTGCACCATGAGATGATTCACGATACTTTCTAGGCCGACTGTACGTTTGTTTACCCAGCGTTATACCAGGTCTCGTGAGACCGAGCGCTCAGAGGCCGTGGCTTGCTATCTTTATGATATGCTTGAAAGCATGTCACTTGGGAAATAAACTGCCCCAATTTTAATTTCACATTCCCTCTTCCGCAATACGAGCGGTTAAATGAGGACGTCATGTCGCAAGTTACGTTAATGATCGTAATGGATTAAAGGGGGGTTCATTTTTTCGATTTGGTACGCGAGCTTTTGTTTCGCGCGTTTGTTACACGCTAATTTTACGCGTCGTATGATGCACAATTATACGATAGTGACAATACAATATGACATTTTTTATATGTAGATTCGGAATTGATAAAGTATGTAAACTAACACAAATATACATATTTAGCTTACTGAAGGGATAAATGTAATTTGTTCATGATACATTTCTAATAAACTTTATAAAAAGCACAATATTTAAATTAATGAAAAATGTTCTCAATTTAGGGACACAGTAAGGGATGATTAATGCGAAGAAGTGCCCGTATAAAAAGCTTCCTCTAAGCTTTTTCTAGAGACACTGAACCCAACAGTATATTGCTTAGTGTTTGTACTCTTGCATAGATTACGAAAAACAACCGACAAAAACAACACAAATGTGTTTTGGTGACGGTTGCTCCTTCAACTAATGCTCACAAACCAAACACCGATGATACTGAATACACAATAATAATTCTTTTTTCTTTCAAAAGCGAATGCTCCCGGAAATATTGAAATCCCACTAAAAACATTCTGTAAAAAACTAGCCAAGTCTCGATGGAGCTGCTTGTTTATCTCTAAAAAGTAATGAAATCTAGACAAAGTCGTGCCAAGTCTATGGTTCCTTACTGCGATTTCTTTATTATTATAGTCAATGTTGTGTGACTTGGCCGTTGAAGGGTACAAAACCAGGTGCTCCATGATACCATTGCACCAATCTGTCGCCAGAACCGCTACCCATTGACGATGGAAAATTGCCACTTGGAAAACGTTGATTCAACAATAACCATTCAATTGTAGGTTTAATAAAGCTGCGTATTTCAATAATACTTATGTATGATTATCTTAATAAAGATTGTTCAACGGCCAAGTCACACAACATTAACTATAATAATAAAGAAATCGCAGTAAGGAACCATAGACTTGGCACGACTTTGTCTAGATTTCATTACTTTTTAGAGATAAACAAGCAGCTCCATCGAGACTNAGTGAGTGAGTGTCGTAAATGCGAAACTTTGCTTTTGCATAACTTCGGAACTAAATGACCTACAGACTTGAAATTTTGGATTTTAAGTATGTGATTATAGCTTACTAGATGACGAAAATTTCTGCGTTCTGGTCTTATCCAGAGGTTCTCAAATAGGGGCCTGAAAATGCGGCGAAATGGTTCGAGTAAAGGATGGTACGGCAGTGTTTGCTTCGCGCTCGACTTGGCGGGGGCACTGCCGTGCCCCCAGATATAATGTTCATAGTACTTGTGTCATGTAAGTGCGGTTGTGTTTTAATTAGTAATACTATTACGCATACCGGAGTGAGTTTGTGGAAAAACCATGACATTACATATTATTTGACATAAACATATTGAAACTCAGTAATTACTGGTTAGTGGTTCTTAATACAATACGTTTACTTAAATTAAAAAACAGAACGAGTTAATAATAGATTAGGTATATCTACGTATATTTCGACCCCAATATTGTTGACGATATCTAACTACCTATTCATGTATGTTAGGTTAGGCAAGTATTGAAAGAAATCTTAACCAAAACTTTCTACATTCCAGACAAAGTTTTTAATTTCTTTCGTTGCACCATTAGCTGCCAATAAGATCATGTTTTAATAGACTATTATGATATTTACAATTTATTAGACCTCAAGTGCTGTGATAAACTTGATTCGTTGATCAACTACATTGTCTTACAATTCAAAGTAACCGTATTCAACTCGATACGGCAATTCCCTCGCACGTGCAGCATTTCGTAGCAAGAACATTCAATCGTCATTATTAATTCCGTTACGAAAGCAGCCTTTTGCTGTTTCGATCTAGGGATGTTATGGATATTAACTGTAACCGAAATTATCAGATATCCGTATTAAAAAATATCCGTAACCTTAACCGAAACCGATTCGAAAGTTTCGGATAGTTTCTGATAAAGGCGGAGTCTAAATCTTAATATTTTATAGTATTATGTTACTTGACTGGCATTCCCTAGCACCATCTAAACATCTAATATCCCCGCCTGTTTTAACTTTATCATAGCGCATAGGTGTCGTCATAGTATATAAAGTGGCTATGTGGGTCGCGCAGCATCTTGCTATTAGAATTTTACATTATATCCGTAACCAAAATTATCCGAGACTTTCGGATAGTCCGAAATGATTTCATATTAATAGTAACCGTAACCGGTATAATATTATTATCCGTAACCGTATCCGTAACCGAAACTTCATATCCTTAACATCCCTGTTTCAATCGTGTTACAGGCGAATCGAACGATGTAAATGACCCCACACTTTTAGATCTAGGTCAACGGAGCGGCTATGACGAGAATAACTAGAACCTATTTGGGGGAATGCGACTTCGGTTGATAACAATTAGTGGATTTATGACGTAGTTCAGTTGAGGCTAGACGTCTGTACTTTTGGAATTATACCGATAATTTTACGCGAAACATATTCTTACCAAAGCAAGAACTTTGCACTTTAGACAGTGCGACTGGGTGACCCCTGTGAAATAACATTTAGTTAATACTATGAGGCGTTTTATTAGTAAGTTTATAATACGAACTCTCTGCAGTTCGTATGATAATGATTGCTCAGTATGATTATTAACTTTAAAAGCGTTATTCACTTTACGGAAAATGAGATTTCTCTAATGCTTTCAATTATACATGTATAGTTGAATGTTTATCTTTTTAATGTATAAATATAAAGCATAACTTTATTTTTCTACTATGTAGGCTACATTAACGTTTTAGGATTTGACACACTGGATGCGTTCTGCGATCTGCAGTCAGGTCAAAATGAGGCAGCCTGTATAATGTATAAACAACCTTGTCGGTCAGCGAACGTGACAAGGTAATCTGTCAGCGGTTTGCGTTCTTTACTCGTGCCCGGCCACTTTGAACTGACTGCTGACCGCAGAAAGCTCCCAGTGTGGCGAATCCTTATACTTTCTTGATTTGAGGTCATGTTACTGATCCACATGTCACTGACCGATGAGTTATGGTCAGCAGCATCAATTTAACTCATGTTACTGTGTCCATTTCGTATAATAAAATATGCTACGTTTATTGAAAATACAGCAAAAAAAATCCTCTTTATTTGTATAGGTAGATTTTAGAGCATTTCGCGATAAAGTATTTCAATAAGTTTTCGATAAATGCATAACATGAAATAAAACGATGATAGCTATTTCAAGCCCAATATTTAATGTCGTACACCTGTCAGATTATTTGGGGGAGCCTTATGAATTTGTAATGTCCCTATTCGTAGCATCTACGATTGAATTGCTCAAGTATCTAAGTTTCATTGTAAATGATCTGTGCTACGTGCTACGGTAGATTCGTAGCACTTGAGCAGTTTGCTACGACAATTCGGTGAATTTTGGCTTTTTGTACATAAAAGTGTATTGTAATATTTTTTTATGTGTAAGTGTCTATGTTAAAATTATGCCTTTTGATTCAATTAACCCAATATAAGTTTACTACTTAAAATTCAAATATTAATGGAACTTTTTGGTCTAAAAATTAAAAAAATATTCTCAACTTAAAAGTTATCGTCAAATAGCTTAGACTAAAAGAAAATTTAATTTAAAATCTACGAAATAAGATAAAAAATGCGAACGTTCTAAAGAAGCTTCCCCAAATTATAACTGATCTAACAGTCTTAATTATATTTCGTAAAAGACGGCTTTTTCTTTAACGTTGCACAACCCAATCTATTTTAAAACGAACCCCCAAAATCTTTCACCAGGTTTGCGGGGCATGGCTTGGAGGGGGGTGGGGGGAGGGTCGAGTGATCGGCCTTACGAAGGCCGCGACGCATCTTGCCCTCCCCTCGCCTCATTACCTCAGATTTATAAATATAGCTATGTGGATCATCGTGCGGTGTAGAAACGAAAATATGGACTTGGTTTCGTTGCTGCTTTAATGGGGACAGTCTTCAACGTGATCAAGTGTTTTTTTGTTGGTTGGGTTTTTTTATTCATGCTGCAAGGAGGCTGACACAGTCGGCTTAGGCATAAACAATGCATCCTCGTTATTTCGGACCGTGATGTGACAATATTATGTGCCATAGATAAATTAATTAACTCGCGTCAAACTACGAGTATAAGTATGGGATTAATACACACACTTACTTACGATTTGTACGATTTCGTATACGAATTGGCATTTGAATGATAAAAGAATATCCTTCTTGATAAATGGTGACTTAGACTTAGACTAAGACGTTCTTTTGGCTAAGATCAAAGAGTTCTCTTTTATTCATTCAATAATGACTTCATTTTTAACTGTCCAAATACCTGTTGTGATTCGTTTACATTCTGAATTATCTGGCTTATTTTGTAACTTTTCTATTGAGATTTACTGATTGATCTGTAAACCACATTTATGTTGCCTAATTCCTCACATAAAAAACCTCACATCAAAGCGTATATTACCTACATAACTTGCTAACAACCCCTAATCTGATATTCATTAGAAAATTACTGGTTTCAATGATTGCACTTTCAAACCATAACCAATTTTCCAATCTAATAGAAAATCTATCTTAGTGAAAAAGTATATTTCATTTGATATAACCAATCAATTGGTAACAATTTATAATTGCATGCAAGATAAAACAAATATGTTTTATATCAAATTGTCACAGGCCTACCATTATAAAAGTTAAATGAAATCGCGTTAAAATAACAAAAGCATTTTCAACAATATTGCTACTCACACAGCCATACACAATCTGCATTCATTTGTTAATTTTCCGCTTCAGAATTAATTCATCAAGTGTTTATCTGTCGTACCCTTTATAGTCCAGTCAATAAAGCATTATAGATGGAAAACCGTGGAACACAATTTTTGACTTCGGGACTTTATTTAGACTAGTTAGGAGGTGAACATAGCAAAAGTCCCCGCCCTTAGCCCTTGAGCCGCCGGAGAGAGGGGAGTTTAAAGGTACCACTTTTCGGTTTTTCGCTTAATCCTCGGAAACTATGCGTCCTAGTGACATGACTACTATGAACCAAAAAAAGCTTATTCAATTTTCTACAGGTGAGATAGTCAAGTTTTTCTATATCTTGTATAGTTTTCGCGGCATCTGCTCTAGAAGGTCTGTAATATTGGAAATTTTATTTTTGTCTTACATGTTCCCATTAGGAGAAAATCGACTAAATCAACATTGAGCTAATATTCTAGACATGCGGGAGCATGTTAAGCCTAGTTCCAGGGAGGGGACTGCACCGTGCATATATTTAGACGAACCACTTAGAGCCACTTTTGACTCCTCATCACTCAAAAAGTACTATGCATTAACACTTCAAATTTGGCTCATCTATTGAGACTTGCAAGATAAACATCAGCTTCAAATTTCATAAACATACCTCAAATGGTTCTTTAGGTATTGACGTCCAAAAATCTACATGGCCATTATGACCAAATTCTAACCACTTCCAGATGACCTTGAAGGTTCAAATTTGACATCCAGATAGGTAGTTGTGTAAATACAAAGGAACAAATAAAAAATCAGTAAATTTTAATATTTCGCAGGTGATAGATAGATTTTAGTGCCCTAAATGTCGATTTTTGAACGTCAATACCTAAATAACCGTTTGAGGTATATTTATGAAATTTAAAGCTGATGTTTATCTTGCAAGTCTCAACACATGAGCCAAATTTGAAGTGTTAATGCACAGTACTTTTTGAGTGATGAGGAGTCGAAAGTGGCTCCAAGTGGTTCGTCTAAATATACTCACGGTGCAGTCCCCTCCCTGGAACTAGGCTTAACATGCTCCCGCATGTCTAGAATATTAGCTCAATGTTGATTTAGTCGATTTTCTCCTAATGGGAACATGTAAGACAAAAATAAAATTTCCAATATTACAGACCTTCTAGAGCAGATGCCGCGAAAACTATACAAGATATAGAAAAACTTGACTATCTCACCTGTAGAAAATTGAATAAGCTTTTTTTGGTTCATAGTAGTCATGTCACTAGGACGCATAGTTTCCGAGGATTAAGCGAAAAACCGAAAAGTGGTACCTTTAAACCCCCCTCTCCCCGCCGGCTTAAGGGCTAAGGGCGGGGACTTTTGCTATGTTCACCACCTAACTAGTTTAAATAAAGTCCCGAGGTCAGAAATTGTGTTAAATGGATTTCTCTCTACACCGTCGTTAAAGCATTCATTGACTGGACTATTATTATCACTGGCATTCACTGATTCAGGAAGTTAAATTAAAACGTTTGTTTATTTTAACTGAGGAACGATAAACAATGTGTGGCTGACACTGGCAACTAATAAATTGAATGAGTAATGCACGAAAACTTTTTGATGTTTACTTTTTTGTATCTACCGACTTCTGAATTTAAAATTGACAGATTAAAAAGAAAAAAATAGATGCCCTTCTATTGTTATGGCAATAATGAACCTACTTAGGTGTAAAAGTAACATACGACTAAATTCTCTGCGGAATTTGTATGAAGATAACGCTTTTAAGAATTTTATTGACGAGTCTTCCATTTTGTCGAAGTGATAACTATCGCTAACCATCCAGTAGTAGCTTGTAAGTATTTGCGAGGTGAGTTTAAAAATATTGTTTTTTTAAACGAAAATAATTAACATAATATTTAAGTGTTTAACACAGCTAACATTGATGCACGCGCAACCGTTTAACTTTAATTGCTAAAATATAATATATTTGATATCAGTGATAAATACGAAAACAAAGTTCGTACCTATATGACAGCAAGCACATAATTAAAACACAATCAATACTGAGAGTGAAATTATTTCGTAGGCAAAGGTGATAAATACTTACTATTTATTTAATTTGTGTGATTGTTTGTTCAGTTACTAATTTGCTTTTGTAAACGACTACGTCATCATAAGACAACTACATAAACGGTTTTCGCGAGTTACAAATCTCTTCCAATCTGAAATCTCGAAACCCATGAGAGCAGAAGCAACGGCAAAGACTAGTCGAGAAAAGTTGCTCATACCTAACTTATAGGTAGACTATCACCCACTTGGATCTGGCTACATTAAAGTATGCCAGTAGACTATATAATTTATCTATGTACGCAGTGATCCACTTGGCCACTTTCCATTTTGTCCAATATTTCTATCTATTTGCTAGTTACGGCCTCTTTATGTAATTGGATTATTTACGTATGAGCAGCACATAATATTTGAAGGCTGTATCTACTTAGTTACTTACTTTTATTGGCCTTGTGGCTAGACGAGCAGATTTATGTCTATGCTTTTGTTAATTTTGGAACTGTTTACTTATGTGACCGATATTGTTGTTGCCAATAAACAACATCAACATGAGTTTTACTTTGTTCATGCTGAACTGATACATTGTTCAACGGCTACAAAATGAGTTTGAAAACATTCGTTTAAATATTGATGGCTTAAAAAAGAATAAGGTTCAAAAGGGTTTTTTTAACGTGGATTTCGGCTGATAGTTAACATTTAATTTTCATTCATTCTTACAGAAACATTAATTCCTGATTTTATACCAAGTTGTTATTTTTCGAAAAAGCTTATTTCCTCCAAGGCCTAATTTACACAAAAATGTTTTACATAAAAATTGGTTCAGCTGCTTAGCTGTGAAATAAAATGTACCAAACAAAAAGTTATAGTAGGTACATTGATTAGCTTAGATTTACTCATCAGTATCGCACTCACTATTCACACTATCTTGTGATGCTGACTGACGTCAATAGGGTCCTAATAAGACGTGATTGGAGCACTCTCACAAATTGACATGCATGCCTACATTGCCTACACAATATGACACCGTTTATCCTTCAGACATCTCATCGCAAACATGTTAGTGCGTGTAAATATAAATATAAATCTAGAAATACTCAGCCTCGCGTCTGTCTTATGAATTGTCGTAGCCAGTCAGCTCTGACAAATTGTAGCATTGGCTACACCATAGGCTTTCCCATTACCATAACAGCGGCGGCGACCTCGAAGCCTACATCAATAGCAAAAAATGGGGCTGGGATCGTTCCAACAGCAAGGCGCCTGGTTATCTGCGGTAGGGTTGACACAAGTAACCGGCCTACCACACTATGTGATAGCATTAGCCATTATATTTATTTCTGCTATAGCCTTTTTAACATTAAATGCTTACTTTTTCGCGACATAAAAAGTATGAACTATCTATTAAAATTAACTTCAACAAGATACACATTTTGTTGTTGGTGACATATTGGTTATAAGTTCAAAAACCTCATTTGAATGATGTTTGTTCACCAGAAACCGGTAAGTATCTAAGATTAAGTAAGAAAAATGAATTCGTTCTGTAATCATTTGTAATTTTTGATACCCATCGAATTTCTTACAGTTCATTTTCTTTAAGTATTCATTAAAGTTACTTAAATAAACTTTCGCGTTGCATGACTATTGATGTTAGGATTCTCTTCACCTAACGTTCACAGCGCATAAGAGATTATGAGAAAGGATTTCATCTAGTCAATGAAGACAGGATCGTCTCTAATCAAAGAAGACAGCCCTATCCTGATTCGCCGTTACGAGACGCGTCGGCGCCGGCGGCCGCGACGGCGCGGCGCCAACTCGACGCACTGCGTTGCAGCGTCGCCGCTTTCGGCCGGCGCCCCTTACGCAACCGGCGATGTTTGACTGTATAATTAACGAGGGCGTGAGAAAAACGCCGAGGATGGATGACTACTTTGATGCTGGATATGACAGGATTTGTCTTGCTCGGATATAGCTTAGGCGAGAAACGTTGGAGACAATATTTCTTGTCAAAAATTATGTTTTGATTAAAAATGTGTCAAAATAAAGACTTGTTTCTTTTTTGGTAATCTTAAGGCTAGTGTTAAAGGTGTTTTTTTTGTAAAAGCGGAGTGTTAACCTTAGGTAGTAAGTTGAGCTTGAGTTGTTGGTCAGGATAGGTAGGTACCTATTCTGCATTAAGAATTTGGAATATTTAATGCCTGAAACTTTGACATTTAGGACTCATAACAAAAGCATCCGTCGATTCTTATGGATATAAAAAGTATTGTCATAATAGTCAAATACCTACCTAAGTAGATAAAGCTCCCTTGGAGGCGTAGAAAATTTACAGCTATAAAAAAATACAAACAAATGGGTAATATAGCAGTCATGGACTTATAAAAAAAGTTCCATGATTGCAGTTTGCATGGATATAGTCGAGATTCGAGGTTGCTAGTTTTGTATAAACAGCAATCGTCGTCATTTAGCTTCTATTTGCTATCATCTCGCAAGACATGTATAATATAAGTATTTTGACTGACGAAAATCGACCTAAATATTGTCTGAAGTACTCAGATAGAAAAGTCTCGTTACCATCACTGGAAATAGAACCAAACAATGCACATAACAAAACTACCTACCTATAGTCACAGACGATAGAAAATATGAACGATTCAACAATCAGAGCCGTGACGTAGGACGGGGAGCGTCGCGTGGGCTACTGCGAGGGCAATAAACAGAAAACACTTCATTAATGCTTATTATTAGGTCTTTAAACGTTGTATAAATTAATGGATATTAAGGAATGAAAGGCTTAGTTGAATCATTATTGAAAGGTCGCGGCATTTCGCCTTAGATGAGCCTACACGCTGTGTAGGTTGATAGTTAAACATATTGCATCGTAGGAGGATACTAGGCAGGCTGACTTTAGTGCCTACACACAAAGTGAATATGTAGAGATTGATAAATAATTAATTTTCTCATCGTTGGAATAAGCGATTCATTTAACCACATCGTTCGTTCGTTCGTTCGTTTCAGCCAAATGACGTCCACTGCTAGACAAAGG